ATAGACAGACTATGGTTTTTCCAGTAGTCAGCTAAGGATGTGATTAAAAAAGGGATGTGAGAGTTGGTCCATAAAGAAGGCAGAGCATAGAAAAATTGGTGCTTTTGGATTGTGGTGCTGGAGATCAGTCTTGAGAGCCCTTTGGAGGGCAAGGAGATCAAACCAGTCAATCCGAAAGGAGACCAACCGTGAATATTCATTGGAAGGACTGATGCTGAAGCTGAGGCTCCAATACTTTGACCACATGATGCAAATATCGGACTCATTGGAAAAGACCTCGAGGCTGGCAAAGATTGAAGGCAGGAAGAGAGTGGAATGATAGAGGATGAGACGGTTAGACGGCATCACCAACTCAATGGACATGAGTTTGAGCAAACTCCAGGAGATGGTGAAAGACAGGGGAGCCTGGCATGCTGCAGCCCATAAAACGGCAATGAGTCAGTCATGACTGAGCGACTAAACAACAGCAACAACAACACATCGCTGATAGGGCATAGACTGGGAATTTGTGGAGGGTGTGTCTGGTTTTCTCCCAAGGAAACAGGGGGCCTAGTGGGGGTCTTATATTAGTGACAATGGGGAAGGGTGGCTCTTGGCAGTAAGCCTTTTCCTGGAAGTGAAGTGGGAGAATTTTTTAATCTTTGCTCTTTTTCATAATTACAGGGTCTGAAGTAAGCTTCAACTCTGTCATCATAAGCTATAATGAAGGAGGAAACAGACAGAGCTGGACTCCATCTTAGACCTGTTATGCCCGATGTCCGTCCGAATCCCTGAGCGGGAAGAGAGAAGGCTTCCAAGACAATGCAACTCGCAAAAAAGGGAAGTTTATTGCTGACTCGAGTCAGGGCTCCTACCGCGCGTCCAGCGCAATGGTACGGGGTCAGAGAGCGCTGAGCCCAAGTTGTTACCCAATTTATAAGGTGTGCATAAGCAGTTGGTAGCTGGCTTAAGCGGATTGGTTACATGTTTGAAAAGTAATCTTATTGGCCCAAACCTTCACGGGCTTTTTTCAAACTTGGGCGTTTGCGGGCTTTTCAGCTTTCCCTGATAGGTTCCTTTTTTCTTGCTAGGCGCATGTTGATTGGCTGGCTCCAGGTGGCCTGATAATCATGTTACCCCGGAAAACCAGGCCTACTCCTAATCTAGGCTGCCTGTCATGGCGTTAGCCTTGGCAGCCTTACAAGGCCAGGCTGCAAACATTAGGCTACACGCATGGTCACCCTACCAATGGACTCTGAACTTTGTGCCCAGTGTCTGTAGAAGTGGCATACCAATGGGAAACCAGACCCCCTGGATAAAAAAGCCTCAGGACTTGTACTTGGACTCTCCATTGCCTAAGAGAATATGCTAATTATCTCTGTAACAGGACAAAGTCATAAATTCCATTATGTTTATTGGGCCATGACCACAGTCCTATTGATAAATGTCCACTGTTTATCTAGTCTTGTGACACATGAATCATGGGTTAACTTTGGTCGTATCTCTCTTTTACCTTGTCCAGACTAGTTTCAAGGAATTTGGGGAGGTGGGTTTCGGCAAGTACACTTAGGGTATATAAGGTTTTCACAAAAACTAGTCGGGGTCCTTGGCTAAGAGGCAACTCTGCCTTGGGCCTGCTGGTGTAATAAACTGCACTCCACTATCTGCATTGTCCTTCTGAGTCAGTTTGTTTCTCAGAACGCGTGACTACAACAATAATACCAAGAAAAGTCAAAGAAGATAAATACACATGTAATAGTTAAAAAATGGAACCTTAGGAATATTAACCCAATAATAATAGAACAACAAAGGCCTGAGAACCTTGGTGTATGTACCTTAGAATGTTGGTGAGGGGCCCTGCGTGTTCCTCTGGGCTGTGTTGTGTCTGGTCCCGTCACATCTTAGAGACATCAGTACGTGTTGAAAGACGTTCCTCTGAGTCAACAAGTCAGAGGTCTGTGTTGAGCCAGAACCCAGAGGTTATACTAACGCCAAAATCTTGGCTCTTTGTGCACAAATGCCAAACCAAAATACTTGAAATACAAACACAGAGACAGAGTTACGGAGAAGAGTGGCTTTATATATGTGTGAGGCTAAAAGGGAATCCTTTAGGCCCCCTCCCTGGTAAGTAGGGAGAGGTTATATTGTCTGTTAGGGATATATGCTAAGAATCAAGGCAGTAACAGTTTTGTATTCTTCTTTCCTCTACAAAGTTGTAAAAGGATGGGGTTGGTGACATGATTAAATTGTGTGCAGGGTCTTAGGTGGTCTGGTCTCCTAATCAGTGCAGTGGTAAAGAATACACCTGCCAGTATAGGAGACTTGGGTTCGATTCCTGGGTCGGGAAGATCCCCTGGGGGAGGAAATGGCAACCCACTTTGTGTCCACTGGGCCACAAGAGGGTTGGACACGATTGACCCGGTGTGAGCATCCTTCTTTGATTAGCAATTTTTCTGCCCTTGGAACTCACAGAAGGTCATGGAGACTGCAATCCTGCCTATAAGAAATGGGACCCAAAAAGGCCTCTGTGCCTGGGAGACCCAGAGGGTCCTGCTCTGCAGCCTCAATACTAGGGAAAATTTTTTCCAGTTTGCCATTTCTCTGGTGATCACTGAGAAAAAAGTCTTTGCACAGCATCCTGGATATTATGTTTATAATTAGACAGTAATGAAATATCATACTGATGTAACTAAATTATCCCCTCATCTCCTCTTTTACCAGCTGTGCTCTGGTGAAGAAATAGCTGGTGAGAATAAGCCTTTCTTCATTAATAAAGTGAAAAAGCAGTCCGTTGTTTTCTGTGCCCTGAGAAAGAAAGTTGCATGTGAATTGTCCACCGTGCGCATGCAGACAATACACGTGGATGTGGACAGATGTGATGTTACCTTAAAACGGCTTGGCCCAGACACGTGGGGAAAAGTCTTCACGAAATTCCAAAAGTAGATGTACTGAGGTTTAGCACATATGAAGAGGTAAACACAAACTGAACTGAATTATCCAAGAAATACTCACCATTGTCGGGAAAACAAAATTAAACACCAGTATGTTTTACTCATACAATTGTTCTCCTAATCTATGTTAATGAAACTATTTATGTGCTTGGAAACCTGCCTTTCTTCAAGATTCATGTCAATTGTTTTAAGGCCCGGGACAACTCACCTTGTACCAATGTTATCTCAAAATGCATGCTGTGGGTGAGGGGCCTGGTGCCAATCTCTGTTTTGAGACATTTCCTTTCTCCAATTAGCAGCCTGCTAGTAGTGGTACTCTTGCCTGGAAAATCCCATGGACAGAGGAGCCTGGTGGGCTGCAGTCCATGGAGTTGCTAAGAGTCGGACACGACTGAGCGACTTGACTTTCACTTTTCACTTTCATGTATTGGAGAAGGAAATGGCAACCCACTCCAGTGTTCTTGCCTGGAGAATCCCAGGGACGGCAGAGCCTGGTGGCTGCCGTCTACGGGGTTGCACAGAGTCAGACACCACTGAAGCGACTTAGCAGCAGCAGCAGCTATATAACATCCACCTAAAGACTAGCAGGGGGGGCACTCCTTCTGTCTCCTTCTGATGTCTATGTCAGAAACTTTATCTATCTCTTTTATACTTTAATAAAACTTTATTACAAAAAATCTCTGAGCGATCAAACCCCATCATTGGCCCTGGATTGAATTCCTCTCCTCCGGACGCCAAGAATCCCGGAGTCTTTCAAGGCTCAGCAACAACATTTCAATACTAAGTGAATAAGTCAGAGAAAGACAAAGATTAGACATCACTTATATTTGGAATCTGAAAAAAGATACCAATGAACTCATTTACAAAACAGAAATGTCCAATTGTATAGCATAGGGAGCTCTGCTCAATGTTATGTGCTAGCCTGGATGGGACAGAAGTTTGGGGGAGAATGGATACATGCATATGTGTGGCTGAGTCCCTCGATTGTCATTTATCCCAACCCCTTAAAAGATCTGAATCCTCTTGGGACCAGCAGTACTCTACACCCATACCCACCTCATCCCCCAGTATAAATCCACCTCACCCCGCCTCGTCTTTGCTCTTTTATTAAAATTTGAAAATAGTAGAGTAGGTTCACAATGTTGTGTTAGTATCAGGCATAGAGCGAATTGAATGAGTTATATTTTAAAAATTATTTAAAAAATCTCCTTTAATGAGAACGGCATTCTTCTTTATAAAAAGTGTTTCTGTTTCATGCTTGTGATGACATAGCTTCAAATACATGAGAAAAACTTGTACGATAATATATACAATAATTATATATAGTATACAGTCATTCAGTAGAGCAATTCCCTATCTATACAGTAACTTTAATGTACTCAGTTCGTTGGTTCCAAGTTATATGTCAAGGAACAAGCTTTGGGGCCTTCCTTGTGGCTCAGAGGTAAGGAATCCACCTGCTAATTAACACACAAGGGTTTGATCCCTTATCTGGGAAGTTCCCACATACCTTGGAGCAACTAAGCCTGTAGGCCACATCTCCTTGTTCCAGACTTCGGGAGTCACAACTACTGAGCACAGGCATAGAACCCACACATTGCAACAAGAGAAGGCATAAGAATGAGAAGTCCATGCACTGCAAGTAGAGTGTCGCCCTTGCTTGCCACAAGTAGCGAAAAGCCCCTGAAGCAACAAAAACTCAATGCAAAAAAAAAAAAAAAAAGTTTTTTTAATGTAATACATTGCTTTAAAAAAATAAGTATTATTTGAAAACATATTAACTAGAGTCAGAGACAACACTCATAAAAATAAAAAGTAAAATAAAAACATACAAGATGCAAAGTAGACAAAGAGATGTCACAATAAGCAAGACAGGAAGTAAATATATTCTTTAAGCAAAAGTAATCTTTGAGGCAAATTCCCTGGTGGTCCAGTCGTTAGGACTATGTACATGCACTGGAGGGGGCACAGATTCCACCCAGGAATGGGGAACTAAGATACCACCTGCCACATGGCTCAGCAAAAAAAAAAAAAAAGTCTCCATGGCTGATTCATGTCAATGTATGACAAAACCCACTGAAATGTTGTGAAGTAATTAGCCTCCAACTAAGAAAAATAAATGAAAAAAAAAAAGTAACTTCTGACCTTTTCTGTAAAACAGGCAACATTCTATGCCACCTAACAGCACTAATTACCTCAATTTTACAAAGGTAGTGGATTCACAGGGTTCCTGTACACAGCTCCATGGAACATGAAAGTAAATGAGCAAAAGCAGGACTGAAACCGAGACTTACAGATTCATACATGCTCTGAACCACCAGGGCCCACTTGGGCAGAACAGAGGACAAAAAGTTACAGTGAACTCCAGGAGTGTAAAAAGGAAACTTCAGATCAGACGCAAGAACTGACCTGTGTAACTGTCTTACTCCTGGAAATGGTTTCCAAGGCACCAACAACACATCAATTCAGGTCCTGTCCAAGAGAGAACCTCAATGTCCACTGTCCTTCCAGGTTTCCTGAGTTACAATCACAGAAGATCCAAACCACATTCCTGTTACACTCACCCCTGAAGGATGTGGCAAAAGAAGTAACAACAGGAATAGCTGAGGGCTCTGATCAGGAAGACAGGTTGAAGGCAGCTCTGTGTAGGGTCTGAGACACCAAATGCAATCAAAGAGCTGCCAGTCTTTTCCCTTCTTCCAATGAGATCTCCCAAGTGCAGCAAATAGGAACAAAACCAGGCTGGGTCCAAAATAAAACTCTGGAGGTGTCAGCGCTGTTCTACATGGACCAAAAAGCAGGCATCTGATGGAATCCAGTGCAGAAGGGGGACAAAGAGGAAATAGATCCCTTTGAAACACCTCATCACATGCTTCCCATAGTCAAGCAACAACACTGACAGGAGTCAAATGACAGATTGTTACAGATCATATAAAGACTTTGCCTTTTGGGACCTCTTTTCCTGGGGGTCCACTTAGAACAAAAACTCTTTTTTCTTTCTAATTAAATCATTTTCTTCATTTAGAAACAGCCACCTATAAGTCAGACCTTCTTTCTTTCTCCCTAAAAAAATGCAATTTTCTGGTAGGAGACTGATGGCCTCCACGTTAAATGTCTTGAATGTTGTCATCTTCCCCTTTGCATTCCATGAGATACATGGGCTCCAGTTGAGGAATTTACACCCAACAAAAACAGGGTAAATAGACAGTCATTCTCTAATCTCAGGGAATAATCATGGCAAGGACAAAGAAAGGAAAAAACCCTGTTTGTTAAGGGAGACATGCCCAGAAAGGCTGCTTGGAGTCAAAACTCACAGGATAATTCCAGGCCATAATGAGTCTTGCTCCTCCCAGAAGCCTTCACTTTGAGATCCAACTTGGCTAAGGTGTGTATGCAAACTCCAGGGAGGGTCCTGAGACAAATGAACCAGGGCGAATAAACAAGGTGATTGGCCTGAGGGAAGATGAAGACCCGGAAAACTGCACCTTTGTAAAGAATTTACCAGACTAGGGCCCATAGCCCTAAATGTTGGCTCCTGTGGTCCAGGGGTTAGGAGCCTCGATCTTGGAAATTAAGAACTTGCTTCCAGCTTCCGCTCACTCCCACTCACTGCTATGAGCATCCCAAATCAATTTCATTGCTCATACCTTTTGTTACTAAAAACACAGATCTTACTTTCCTTAAGCAACCATGAACTGTCCTTTATATTAGCATTTTGTAGAATGGTGACCATAAATACCAGTGATAACGTCTAAAAACATTTGCTTTCTTATGGAGAACATCTCAGGGTAGCAGCAAACATATTCATTAATAATCCAAAATCTCTTTAGTTTCTCTATGAGAGGAAATTATCAGTAATCAGTGACTATGTGTGTGCTAAGTCGCTTCAGACATGTATGACTCTTTGCAAACCCATGGACTGTAGCCTGCCAGCTCCTCCGTCCATGGGATTCTCCAGGCAAGAATAGTGAAATGGGTTGCCATTTACTTCTCCAGGGATCTTTCCAACACAGGGATTGAACTCTCAGTAATCAGTGTAATACAAAAAAAGCATTACACAATTTGATGACTCAACTCATGTCTTACTTAGATGAGTAAACAAACGTTAATACTAGATATTTAATGCTGAATATTTCCCAGTTCATGTGCATCTGAAATTCATTTAATTTCTCGTAACTGTTTGATTTGTAAGTGCTTACTTTTTCTTTTGTAAAGCCAAGTGAATTAGATCTCACTTAGAAACTGACCTCAGCAATATTATCCAAACACAAAGACACACAGTGAGACATGCAGAAATCCAGACACACAGATGGACAGAGACCATAGTTGTCTGCTTGAGATTTAAAATGTCTCTTTGACCTTTTTCTTTCCCCTTGGTTTGAAATTCTAGTTTGCCCAAGGTTGAGGCCTCAGGCAAAGCGGGCTGTGTATTTCAAGGACTTGGTAAAGGTTATGCGCTGTGCTAAGCTGCCTCAGTTGCGCCCGACTATCTGCGATCCCCTGGACAGTATCCCGCCAGGCTGCTCTTTCCATGGGACTCTCCAGGCATGAACACTCTGTTGGGTGGCTATTCCCTCCTCCAGGGGATCTTCCTAACCCAGGGATCAAACCCACCGTTTCCACACTTGCAGGCACGTTCTGTACCATTAGAGTCATCTGGGATGCCTGGTAAAGGTTAACTCAAGTTTTTCCTAGGCGAGCTGTCTCAACGAGTTAGTTGCTTTTAACTCCACATGCAAAAAGAACCAGTTGTGCACGTTCAAAGAGAAAAAAAAATTCATTTTAATCAGTTTTCTCCAGAGTCTAGAGAATAGCACAGCCATCCTATGTCAAAAAAAGTTACCTTTCCTTTCTATAGTCATAGTTTTGTAGCTAAAATACAGATCAAATAGTGTTCAAATTGACAGAAAACAAGGGCAGATGGGCTGATAAAAATCTTGGATTGTCCCTCTGGGGAGATGGGGGTCTTGGATTGTTCAGAAGAATCTGAAGGGGTAAAGAAAACTTGCTAGAGTGGGGGAAGCTGGGCTCATCCTCCCCTCAAGAGACAGCGGCAGTTAGAAGGGGACCAGCTCATGGAGAGGGAGACAGAGGGGTTGAGAGGGGTTTAAGGACACAGAGGACAGAGAATGGAGACAGAAAGGGCAGTGGGAGACACTATTGGAGCTGTGGGCCGGCTCAATAGAGAGGCGACCTAAAAAGTGAGGGTTTGATCAGCCAAAATATAATTCTGACACTGTAACACGGACAAACATCCTCACTAATTGCATAATTATTTTTCCAGTAACTTCACTAAGACAGTTTTAAGTTCACTTTATGTACCTCCTGGTAGGAGAGAGAAGGATCCAGCCTCTCATCCAGCAGGGCAGGTTCTTATCCTTTCTCAAGGGGCAAGAGTCACAAACATTCAGTAACTTCTAAGGGTTCAGCCCTGTTTAATTTACGGTTCCAATTCTCACACAATCCACAGATGTCCCATGTATTAGCTAATGAGTAATAAGGTGAATCTTCCCGTCTGGGAATAAAAACGTCATCAATCTCAATCTCTTGTTTCTTAAAGAGTGGCATTTTGTCTCACAAATCCTGCTCACAGTGCCAATTAATGCCTTGCCAAAAGTTTTCACTTTCATCTTAGGTTCTAAGGATTTGTTAAGAAAACAAGCCACTCTTTCTATACAAATAAATATTCCAATATTTATTAGAGAATTATCTAGCTGACTTTCAATATACTAATCCAACCAATCCATCCTAAAGGAGATCAGTCCAGGGTGTTCATTGGAAGGACTGATGTTGATGCTGAAGGTCCAGTACTTTGGCCACCTGATGCAAAGAGCTAACTCATTTGAAAAGACCCTGATGCTGGGAAAGATTAAGGGCAGGAGGAGAAGGCGAGGACAGAGGATGAGATGGTTGGATGGAATCACTGACTCAATGGACATGAGTTGGGGTAAACTCTGGAAGTTGGTGATGGACAGGGAGGCCTGGTGTGCTGCGGTTCATGGGGTTGCAAAGAGTCGGACATGACCGAGTGACTGAACTGAACTGAAAAGACAAGGAAATAGAAACAGTAGAGGATACATCACCAAATTGGCTTCTGACCAACATCCAGACTGGAACAGCCCTGGGAAGTCCTAGGACACAGCACATCTGGAGTCTCAACTGGGTAAAGGTCCCAGGCAGCGTGTCCACCCATGGGTGAGGCTTTAACACTGCAGTTCAGGGTTCCTGCTTATCATCCCAGAAAGCAAACTGATGTCATCAATCTGTGAGCAAACAGCAGCTCTGGTTTCATCTTAATGCTGTTTGTTTTGTCTTATGAAACTTGGATGTTCCTAAGACTGGGGCTGGGTTGGTCAGAGCCTCTTTGAACAATCTCAAGGGTGAACAATCTTAAGATTCGTGTCCTAACTTATCTATGGTGCTGCAAGCCTTGCACTCGCAGCAGGCAGTCAGGGTACTCACAGTCAGGGTGTGTCCAGGCAGGTTGGAGGCAAGCACAGAGGAATGCACTGCTTTGTCTTGAAGCCTAAACAGGACTATTTTTTAAATTTCCCTAATACCCTGGTGGCCACATGGTAAAAAGTTAGCTTGCTGATGCAGGAGACATGGGTTCGATCCTTGTTCTGAGAAGATCTCACATGCCAGGGAGCAACTAAGCTGATGAAGGACAGATACTGAGCCTGTGGAGCGAAACTACTGAAGGCCGTGTGCCTAGAGCTGGTGCTCCACAACAAAAGGAGCCACCGCAATGAGAAGCCATGCAGCCTGCAAGCAGACAGCAGCCCCCACTTGTCTCAAACAGAGAAATGGCCACACTGGAAACAGACCCAGTGCAGCCAAAAAAAAAAAAAAAGCCCTTGCCTTTGTCTCTGTGGGCGCTACAGCACCACTGGAGGGTGATGTACATTTCACACGTCAAAGAACAGAGCAGGAAGTTGAGGAGAAGAAAAATCTCCTGTGAGAGTTCACAAACACTAAGTATCTGTTTTCTCACAAAACGCTCACACTTCGAGAGCTTCCCAAACATGATGAATGGTGTGGCTTCCTCTCTGTCCTTGTGACAGCTGACCTGAAATCACACTGTTGATCCTTTCCCACTCATCTAATTTTCTGCTATTAGCACCTCATTCTCCACAATCCAGGGATCTTCCTCGTGCTACAAAAATAGAGTTATGATTCAGGTCAGAATCAGAAATTCCTGATCAGAAGAAATGTCATATACTTGGCTTCTTCCAGAATCCAAACTTTATTTAAATTAAATGCAATTTCTATCTTTAATAATTTTGTTTATTCACCTATTTTGGCTGGAGTGAGTGATCGCTGCTGCTTGGACTTGTCCCCAAGTTGGGCAAGTAGTGGTTTGGTTACGCTCCAGTTGCAATGCTTGTGCTCCTCACTTGCTGTGGCTTCTCCTGGGTGCACAGGCTTCAGTAGTTGTTCCATGTGGGCTCAGTAATCGCAGCTTCTAGGCTCTAAAGTGCTGCTTTAGTAGTTCTGGCCCACGGGCTTAGCTGCTCTGTGACATGTGGGATCTTCCAGACCAGGGATCGAACCTGTGTCTCCTGCCCTGGCAGGTGGAAAATCCCAGCTCTTTTGTTAGTTAAGAAGTGAGGACATTACAGATAGACAGAAAAATATTTCACAAATTACTTTACTATTTGCCTCCTCCTGAATGCACAGGGAACAGTGTAATATACAGTATAGTATGTATCAGGTATCTAGTTCCTTTCTAAGAGTTAGCGAACCAAGAACACAGGGGTATAAACAGGCAACTGGATATTTCAAAGTTTGAAATCAGTTTTATAAACACTCAAGCTCTGGAAAAAACTCCTTGTGTATCACACAGTGGGCAGGTCACCAGAAGGAAAGACAAGTTTGAACTCCTGATGCCAATCATGAAGCCTTACATGTCTGAGTGAACAAGGCTTTCAGCTCAGTCAAGAAAAACAGGGCTCCCAAGAGACAGTGAGGGAAAATGCAGAGATACACCAAAGTATATCCCTACTTCAGAGGGAAGTGATCCTCACCCACAGACAGCAGGTTCCTGAGGGTCTCCACCATCACGTCCTTGTACAAGGTCCTCTGGGCAGGGTCCAGACATTCCCACTCCTCGGGAGTGAAATCTATGAACACATCCTTGAAGGTCAACTGTGCCTGAAATGAAAATACATTTCACCAATTGGCCCTGAGCAGGGTTCGTTCTTATTTTTACAAAAGAGGAGAAAAAGTGAGGTAGGTAAGGTCAATTCAGCTGAAGTAATATTGTGATAGATCCATGGAAATCTATATGGAGCAAATTGTTGCTGCTCTCTGATTTAATTTCCTGTTTTTTCATAAGATGATGATATCCTCCAATCAACATGAATTCATCATGTGTGAGGACAAGACATGAAAAACATACAAATTGCAATCAACAGTGGGTTGTTGATGCAGAAGTGTTACATTCGACACCCTGAGTGACATTCACTATCTAGATGAACTACAGCAAGACTGGTGTCTTCAGAGACGACAAAGTCCACAGTGGTTTTAAAAGAATACAGATTGTGATGAGGATGTCATCATCACACTGACAAGAGGTGTCTCAACACTTCATACACACTAAGCGTTACTCTAAAGACTTTACCCATATCAACTTGTTATCAACATAACAGCACGTTAGAGAAAGATCTGTGTACATCTTACTGGGGAGAAAACTGTCACTCTAAGAAATAGCTCCTATCAAACAGTTAAGAAATGAAGCAACAGCACCTGAGCTCAGGTGGTTGGGAGAGACAACTGAACCTAAGGAATGAAAGAGTTAAGTAACAGTATAAAAGATCATCCACAGAGTTCCCTGAGAATACCTGAAACAAGTTCAAGGGAGCTGAAGTGCAATGGAACAGCATAAATGGTCACTATACAGGGTCACCCCCTCTACCTCCCAATGCACACAATGTCAATAATCTGACTACTATTTACATTATTCATGTGATGAGGTATAAAACATTAAAGGCCATGGAATACACACTTCAGATACAACTGCAACTGCTCTAAGCATAAACCGTATTTATGAGATGGTTTTGTAATAAATCATGGAGTTACATATCCATGCACTCATGCATGCACATGGAAACGCACAATTGATTGAAACAAGAAGAGTTGTCTTTATTTTTTTCTTTCATTCAATCAAAATTTAGTGAGCATCAACTCTGTGTCCCAAACTGGGAATACAGCAGTGAACATGACGGAGCTTACAGTGTAGCAGCCAGCCGGCCAATTAGATCCATAATTTTAACATTACTATTGTAATATGTGCTCTGAAACAGGCCTGGTGCTAAGAGAAGATTCAACAGAAAGTCTTGATTTACATCAAGAAATCAGACAAGGTCTCTGTGAAGAAGAAACACTTAGGATTGGCAAGGTGGGAAATGGAAGAGTTTTGTAAGCAGAGAGAACAGCCTGAGTGCCAGCTCTGAGGCAGGAAGATATTTACTGAACAGAAAACCAGCCAGTGTGATTGCAACGTAGGGAAAGATGACGGGGTGATGCCAGGTAGGGGCTGATTTCTGCAAGGCCTATAAACTGAGGATGTTATTTCAAAAGCACCTGGATACCACTTAAGAATCTGTAGGAGGAAAGTTAGAGATTTAGGTTTGTTTCTCAGCACTCCCTCTGCTATGTGAGGAGGTTGTTGTTCAGTTGGCTCCGTCATGTCAGACTCTTTGGGACCCCATGGAGTGTAGCCTGCCAGGCTCCTCTGTCCATGGGATTCTTCAGGCAAGAAAACTGGAGTGGGTGGCCATTCCCATTTCCTATTCATGTGTATTTTGGCATCTTTGGGACATTAAAAATGAATCAAATGTATTTCAGGAAGTTTGTTAATATGCGATTTCCTTTTCACAGCTTCTTTGGTTTGTTTATGCTGGGCCTTCGTTGCTGTGATCCAGCTCTCTCTCCTTGTGGCTGCACTGCATGGAGTTGAGTCTGCAGTGCCCAGGCTTCTCATTGCAGTGGTTCTCTTTGTTTTGGAAGACAAGCCTCAAGCATGTGGGCTTCAGTAGTTAAGGATTCCAGGCTCCAGAGCACAGCCTCAGCAGTTGTTGGGCATGGGCTTAGTTGCTCTGCAGCATCTTCCAGGAATTGGGAAGGAACCTGTGTACCCTACACTGGCAGGCACATTCCTAATCACTGTATCACCAGGGACGTCCTCAAGATTATCTCATACAATTAAAAACATAAATAGTACAAGCAGAAAATAATACACAAAATAGTTTAACACCAATCTGTATAAAATACCTGTATTTAAAAATAATATGAGGGCGTCCCCGGTGGCTCAGTGGTAAAGAGTCCACTGACCAACGTAAGAAACACAGGTTGTTGCCTGCTCCGCTAAGATCCCACATGCTGAGGGGCAACTAAGCCGGTGAGCCTCAATTTCTGCGCCAAAGCTTCAGAGCCCAGGCGAAGCTACTGAAGTCAGTGCACTCTAGAGCCTGCGCTGCAAGACAAGAGAAGCCACGGCAATGAGAAGCCCGCACACTGCAACTAGAGAGAGGCCACCACTCATCAGAATTAGATGAAAGCCATTACAGCAATGAAGAGTCAGTATAGCAAATAAATATATTTAAAAAATAACAATGTGATTTTATTCTTAATTTTAGGTATACAGTTATTAACAAAACTCAGAGTTTACTATTTTATTCCAATAATAAAACATTAAATCAAGATTAGTAAAGTTGGGGAATTCCCTGGCGGTCCAGTGGTTAAGATCCCACACTTCCACTGAAGGGTTTCGGGTTGAACCAATACTCAGGGAACTAAACCCTGTAAGCTGCCCTGTGCAGCCAAAAAAGAAAGAACAAAAATTAGCAAACTATATTTCATAGTTTAAATGAGATGATGTAATGAAACACTCTCCATCCCTGAGGTCTTTTTCTGATTTTTCCATTTGATTCTGAAACACTACAATTTTCAAGGAGGTCCTCATTTAGTTTCAAATGTACTATAAAAAGTGAGAACTAATTTCTCCTGGTTAGTTCCTTTTTCCAGATTTTACCACATGCTGTGCATACAAACCCGACTCCAGGGGCAGCTTCTTTACCCTGGTTGACAGAGAGCAGACAGCACATCCAGGTGGGCCCTAAACAGTCCCTGCTGCCCAACAGCACTGAGACCCCGTCTCCAACCCGTGGGTGAGAAGCCCTGCCCAGGACGGCGCCCAGGGGAGCCTTCTCACAAGGGCCAGGTCACCGGGTCATGGGGAGATGGGATCTAAGTGGAGACGACAGGCCCTGAGGGAAGGCCCTGGGTGAGTGTGCATGTGCAGGAGTCAGACAGGACACTCCAGAGTCAGACACGATTAGCGAGTCCAGAGAAGGGCATTTTAGGAAGGACAGACTGAGTACCCACTGAGAATATGACCTTACCTGAGAAAGAGCCATGCCTGACTCCTGTTCTTTCCTCTTCCTCCTCTTCTGGGCTTCCTCAGGGAACACAAGTCTTCAGAGGTCTATCATGAAAGCAGAACACATGCTGTTTAATGCTTAGGGTCAACACATCCGTTTCCTGAGCCCCAACCACACACATAGGGAAGCCCTCACCATATGGAACAGACAGTCCCCTGGGCCCACTGTCTCAGGAGGGACTCAGGACAGGCAACTCCAGCAGAGAGACCAACATGGGACTTTCCCACACTTTCTGCCGGATCACTCTCCCCTCCTGGTGAGGCCTCATGTACACAGAAGCATGGGGCTCCTCAGCTGACCCCACAATGCCCCTCAGGTCACACAGCAGGCCCTGGTCCAGTCCCACTCAGAGCAGAGTGCCCTCCCCTCCCCCAGGGCCCGATCTCAGTATCAGAAGTGGAGGGTAAGAGCCCTGGTGCTCAATGAGGATCCAGATCGGAATCATCTGCGGCCTGTGCACATTCCTGGGGCGAGGCCCCACACGAGATCCTGAGGAGCGTGTCTGATGGGGGAGAACCGACTAATGAAAGGGTTATGTATATACATACCATACACCCTGTGACCATGTGACACATGTGTACACTGTGAAATATTTATCACAATCCACTAACCAACACATCCATCACCTCCAAATTCCCATGTTCTGTGTGTGATGACAACACTGATGACGTATTGCTCTGACAAGTTCCCAGCAAGCAGTAACAGAATAGGATTAACTATGGTCAGCATGCTGCGCATACCTCCCCAGGACATACTCATTTTACAACTCAAAGTCTGTACCTTTTGACCACTATCTCCCCATCCTCCCCACCTCCCAGCCCCAGATAACCACCATCCCACTGTCTGGTGCTAGTGAGTTTCACTTTTTTTAGATTCCACATATAAGAGAGCACATACAATATCAGTCTTTCCCTGTCTGTCTCAGTTCACGTAGCATAATATTCTCTACATTCATCCAAGTTGTCCCAAGTGACAAATACATCCTTTTTTATGGGTGCATAATGTCATTATATGTATGTGTGTATGACAGCCTGTGTGTATGTTGCCAATCAGGACTTCCCTGGTAGCTCAGATGGTAAAGAATCTGCCAGTAATGCAGGACACCTGGGTCGATCGTGGGTCAGGAAAACCTCCTGCAGAAGGGAATGGCAGCCCACTCCAGTATTCTTATCTGGAGGATTCCACGGAGTGGCAAAGAGTCCGACACAACTGAGTGACTAACACTGAGTTAAACTTGCATTTATCAGCCTGGATCCTTGGGCTCTTTAATCAACAGAAATAGTTAAGAGACCAGAGGAGAAATTCAGGGACAGCTTATTGGGCCTCCTGCCACGTTAAAGCAGAGCACCAAAAAGAAGTAGGTGCCCTTGCTCCTCTCAAAAAAGGATGTGCGAGCTGGTTCCTTAAATGTGGATAAAGGTAGGCATGGATTAGTGGTTAAGGCCAGAAGGAAGTTGAGGATATCTGACCCCTATTGGCCCCACAGGTGGTGCTGTGGGCAGGGGTCATGGGCAGTGAGCTCTTTTGCTTCTGGAGACTCAGAAATAACAGTTGGTTTGTGGCTCTTTTCTTTCTTATTGTTCAGTGGTTAAGAACCTGCCTGGGTATGCAAGGGATATGGGTTCAGTCACTGGTGGGGGAACTAAGATCCCACATGTGGTGGAACAACCAAGCCTGAGCACCACAACGAGAGAGTCTGTGCACTGAAACTAAAGATCCTGCAGGATGCAGGTGAAGCCAAATACATAAACATTTTAAAAAAAATTTTGATTTGCTTCTCTTGGATATATAATCAGAAGTGAGACTATGAGATCCTATGCATGCTCTGTTTTTAATCATTGGGCAACCTCCGTACGGGACGTCCAGAACAAGTCTGTGTAGTACAGGTTGCTGTGGAATTGATGGCCCTCGGATTCTAGGAACAATCCTTCCCTACATCATGAAATTTTATGGCCCCTCCCTAGCAAAATCCTTCACCACCAAAGCCCTGGACCAACTGTTTCCCCTTTGAGGCTGAAAGGAACTTCCAAACCTCCATCTGGTCCAACACATTCCCCAGATCCCAGTAATAATCCACATATCCTGCTATGCAATCCCAAGAAGGTTCCAAAACTTAACAACTCCTGCGTTTATGATGGAATAATAACACAAGATGCTCAAACACAAACCAGACTCAAGATATTTTCTTATTAGTCACAGTGACCCCAGCCAATCTTGCTTCTTTCCTCCACAGGTGTGAATATGAGTTCCCCAAACCCAGACATGCAAACTTCAGTCACAGCATCTGTGTCCCAGGGAAACTGAGCTAAGTAAGACACTATGGCATGTCCACCATTCCATGCAGCCCACCATTAGCCATGAGCCCACATCCAGGTCCTCCAGCCAGAATTGAAAACGCCTTTGTCAACAGTTTCACACACCCCGTGATCCCACAACTATGCTTGTCTGTCTCTCTCTCACACACACACACCATTTATTCATTCCATCCAGAGGTGCACTGTTGCTACCGACAAGCTCCCCTTAACTTTCCCCCGTTTTTCTACCTCTTCTCCAAGCATGGCTGAATAAGAGGGTTAAAGAGCCAAGACCGGGACTTCCTCGGTGGTTCAGTGGTTAGGAATCCGCCTGCCAATGCAGGGGACACAGGTTCCATTCCTGGCCTGGGAAGATTCCACATGCTGTGGGGCATTTAAGCCTGCAAGCCACAACTACTGAAGCCTCCCTGGCCTAGAACCCACACTCTGCAACAAAAAGCCACTGCGATGAGAAGCCTGCACACTGTGACTAGAGCAGCCCCTGCTCACTGCAACCAGAGAAAACCCACCCCGGCAATGAAGACTCAATGCAGCCAAAAATTAAAAAAAATTTTTTTTAATTAAAAAAAAAAGAAAAAAGAAAGAAAGAGCAGAGACCATTGGGCGTGGGCATCACAATAAAAATACACCCAAGCTGTAAATCCACAAACCCTGGGCACTTAGTATGGAGACCAAGAAGCTGGTGCTCTTGGGAAAACCTGTCAGTGACTGCGGACGTTATGCAGTTGAGGGATGGTTGGTAAAGAAGTCACAAAGAGAGAGGTCCCATCTCACTGGCTCCTCTTCTCCATGCTCACAGCTAACTGGCAGATATCCCAGCTCACTGAGGGGGCTGGGGGATAGGGAGGTGTCTCCTTCATATGCACTTAACTTCGAAACCTTTGGGCCACTCCAAACACAGTAAACTCAGCATCCCCTGCTCTGAGCAGATGAACTGCTGGAAGGAAAAGCTGCTGTCTAAGATGGCAACTGGTCCCTAGATGGACAGAGGTTAGAAGACCTGGGGGCTGCAGCTGGGCAGTGACACAGTAACTAAAACATGGGGAAACCTCAAGACACTAGATCTAATGGGCTTTTTAGGACTCCCCACATCTTTTGCTTTTGAGGAATTAAGTGTCCACAGACACCTTCTTCCAACAACACGAGAAGACTCTACACATGGATATAACCAGATAGTCAATACTGAAATCAGATTGATTATATTCTCTGCAGTCAAAGATGGAAGAGCTCTATATAGTCAGCAAAAACAAGACCAGGAGCTGACTGTGGCTCAGACCATGAACTCCTTATTACAAAATTCAGACTTAAATTGAAGAAAGTAGGGAAAACCACTAGACCATTCAGGTATGATCTAAATCAAATCCCTTATGATTATACAGTGGAAGGGAAAAATAGATTCAAGGGATTAGATCTGATAGAGTGCCTGAAGAACTATGGATGGAGGTTTGTGACACTGTATAGGAGGCAGTGTTCAAGACCATCCCCATGGAAAAGAAATGCAAAAAGGCAAAACAGTTGCCTGAGGAAGCCTTACAAATAACTGAGAAAAGAAGAGAAGTGAAAGGCAAAGGAGAAAAGGAAAGATATACCTATTTGAATACAGAGTTCAAAAGAATAGTGAGGAGAGATAAGAAAGCCTTCTGCAGTGATCAATGCAAAGAAATAGAGGAAAACAATAGAATGAGAAAGACTAGAGAACTCTTGAAGAAAATTAGAGACATCAAGGCAACTTTTCATGCAAAGATGGGCACAATCAAGGACAGAAATGGTAGGGACCTAACAGAAGCAGGAGATATTAAAAAGAGGTGCCAAGAATACATAGAAGAACTATAGAAAAAAAGATCTTCACGACCCAGATGTGATCACTCACCTAGAGTCAGACATCCTGGAATAAGAAGCCAAGTGGGCCTTAGCAAGCATCACTATGAACAAAGCTAGTTGAGGTGATGGAATTCCAGTTGAGCTATTTCAAATTCTGAAAGATGATGCTGTGGAAGTGCTGCACTCAATATGCCAGCAAATTTGGAAAACTCAAGTAGTGGCAACAGGACTGGAAAAGGTCAGTTTTCATTCCAATCCCAAAGAAGGGCAACACCAAAGAATGCTCAAACTACTGCACAATTGCCCTCATCTCACACACTAGCAAAGTAATGCTCAAAATTCTCCAAGCCAGGCTTCAACAGTATGTGAACCGTGAACTTCCAGACATTCAAGCTGGATTTAGAAAAGGCAGAGGAACGAGAAATCAAATTGCCAACATCTGTGGGATCATCGAAAAAGCAAGAGAGTTCCAGGAGAACATCTGTTTCTGCTTTACTGACTATGACAAAGCCTTTGACTGTGTGGACCACAAAAAAGTAAAAAATTCTGAAAGAGATGGGAATACCAGACCACCGGACCGGCCTCTTGAGAAATCTGTAAGCAGATCAGGAAATAACAGTTAGAACGGGACATGGAACAAGAGACTGGTTCCAAATAGGGAAAGGAGTATGTGAAAACTATATTGTCACCCTGCTTATTTAACTTATATGCAGAATACATCATGAGAAATGCTGGGCTGGATGAAGCACAACCTGGATGAAGCACAACCTGGAATCAAGACTACCAGGAGAAATATCAATAACCTGAGATATGCAGATGCCACCACCCTTATGGTAGAAAGTGAAGAACTAAGAGCCTCTTGATAAAACTGAAAAAGGAGAGTGACAAAGTTGGCTTATAACTCAATATTCAGAAAACTAAGATCATGGCATCTTATTCTATCACTTCATGGCAAACAGATGGGGAAACATTGGAAACAGTGACAAGACTTTAATTTTCTGGGCTCCAAAATCACTGCAGATGGTGACTGCAGCCATTAAATTAAAAGGTGCTTGCTCCTTGGAAGAAAAGTTATGACCAACCTAGACAGCATATTGAAAAGCAGAGACATTACTTTTCCAACAAAGGTCTGTCTAGTCAAAGCTATGGTTTTTCCAGTAGTCATGTATGGATGTGAGAGCTGGAGTATAAAGAAAGCTGAGTGCTGAAGAATTGATGCTTTTGAACTGTGGTATTGGAGAAGAATCTTGAGACTTCCGTGGCTTTCAAGGAAATCCAACCAGTCCATCTTAAAGGAAATCAGTCCTGAATATTCATTGGAAGGACTGATGCTGAAGCTGAAACTCCAATACTTTGGCCACCTGATGTGAAGAACTTACTCATTAGAAAAGACCCTGATGCTGGGAAAGATTGAAGGCAGGAGGAAAAGCGGACAACAGAGGATGAGATGGCTGGATGGGGTCGCTGACTCAATGGAAGTGAGTTTGAGTAGACTCCAGAAGTTGGTGATGGACCGGGAGGCCTGGCGTGCTGCAGTCCATGGGGTCGCAAAGAGTCAGACATGACTGAGCAACTGAACTGAACTGAACATCTTTTGCTTTTTAGGAATCAAGTGTCCACATGGGGTCAAAGAGTTGAAATGTCCAGAACAGATGTGGGAACCATCACCACCTACCCTGTCCCCTCTGTCTCCCGTGAGAATTGAGTCCAAACTACAGTCATAGTCTGTATGGGAATTCCTAATAATGTACTTTCACAGCCTTGAGAAATTCCACAGAAATAACACCTGGAAAAACAGCATATACCTAGAAACTATGTTAATGATTATCTTTCATGTTTTTCTTAAGGAAAATTGCCTTGTTACAAACCCCAAGGTCAGACCCAGAAGAGAGTATGACTCGGATCATGAAAGCATGGACCTTGGAACACCGGGTCAGCACCAGGCATGAATGCTGCCTACGGACTTGCTAATTGTTCCCGAGACTAGCCCAGAAGGGAACAACCTGGGGTAAACACAAGGAGATCTGGACTCTGTCGGTGTAGTCCATGACATTTAGAAGTACGTGATTAACACACCATGTGTCTTAAGAAAGATAAGATCTGAGAAAGTCTTGTTGTCTGCAATTAGGAATAAAAGCTGGACTCAGAGTGGAATCTGCACCTCAGTCCAGTAGAGGCTGCAGATGCCCTGACCCACTGCATCAGATTTCATGTTCTGTCTTCATTCTCGTTGCTCGCTCCCAGACCATTAGGGCAACACTAGTCCTCATCCCCAGAGTGAGATCCTGCAAGCATCCTGGGAGGGAGAGGAACATGGTGCATACATACTTCAATGAAGGGAAAACAGGAAAGACTCCAAATAATCAAAGGACAAGGGCATTTCTGATGAGGGTGATTAATATAGAGGCACTAAACCTGGCTTAATGTGACAGAGAATATCAGAAGGACATAGGGAGACCTCTCTGGTCTAGAACTGAAGGAACAGAAAGAGCAAGGGCCATGGTGATTAATGACCAAAGGCAGGTGTAGAAACTAAGATCCGAGACATAGAAGGTTTCTATGTTTATGAACAAGGACTAAGTGAATGTGACCAGGACAGAATGACCATGAGAACAGGGTCAGCTCCCAGGATGAGGCTGGAGACACTGGCAGGGGTCAGGATGCTGCTCTGAGGACATGGGAAAGCCAGAGGAGGTGGGAGGCGTAGCTGCACATTGACCTTTATTCACAGAAGACAGCTCATGATTCTGACTCTGAGCCTATGCTCCTGCCTCCATCCTACTGTTCTGTCTTTTTCATTTTAGTTTCAAGTGGGTCTTTTTCAATCTCAAATAAGAAATATTAACATAATATATTCTAACATATATCAGTTTCAAGTGGGTCTTTTTCAATCTCAAATAAGAAATATTAACATAATATATTCTAACATATATCAGTTTCAAGTGGGTCTTTTTCAATCTCAAATTTTAGAAAACTAAGGTCCATTTAAAATTCTAATAAAACTGGGCACTTCCCCCAAGAAGAACTGCCACACACAGTTAGACACTCAATTTGGCCAATCATTTCAGGGGTCCCTGTTGCTCAGCTTCTGGACCTGAAGAAGCATCATCAGATCAACTCATAGCTCACTAGTTACCAGACTGTATAAAAGAGAGGAAAATGGAGTATCAGACTAACTGCTTAAATTAGATTTGACTCTTAACATAAAAGATCGCTGACATCCTTACTAAGAACTCATCAAAATAGTCTATAACTATTTACTAGTTACCAAAAAACGTTTCCAGATAAAACATGAAGAGAAGACAGAGAACAGGCCTCAAATAAATGTGAAAGAAACCTAAAGTGAATCAGCTTGTTAAAATTTTTTTCAATGAAGAATACTGGTGCAAGGTATAAAAAAAACAGTTGAGAATATAGCATATTTAGAGAAGAATGAAATGAATTAATTACAGGAGGCCACCAAATCTTATTTCAGAAGTGAATAATTGTTTACAAGAAAGTTGCTATTGAATGAACAAATCTTTATCTCAAGCTACAAAAAAGAATTAAATGTAAAAGGAGAGCTAAAAGTAAAATAATCGCAAAGTACAAGTTCCCTGAAAAGGCATCATGTAGTAAGAGTCAGTCAGTTCTTGCCCCACTTCTCTCACATAACCCCTACTCACATAACCTCTACACCAGGAACAGGGAAGAGGGTGACTCACACCTGAGAGAATCAAATCACTACCACAGCCCCCACCTCAACAGGCTCTACACATGGATGCTCTTTTAATACAAATAATTACAAAATGCACACGCCTTACAGACAGAAGTTTTGCAATTCTCATTCTCATCTGTATAATCTAAGGAAACAAGTTTAAAAATTACTAGATTTTAAACCCCAAAATCAATGCATCACGACTTAATAATTCTTACCCAACCAATTCAGTGCTCGTCTGGATCAAGTCCCCTCCCCTACCTGCACACTAGCTGTTTCCACTTCATTTGGCTTACGTTTCCCTACTTCTTTCTCTGTCTCCCTTCCTCTTCCCCTCTGCTCTCCTGCTGTGCCTGTCCTCCTCTACTTCTTCCCTGCCTCCCATCCCGCCTCTCTCTGCCACTGTTCGCCTTCAAGTTGCTTTCTCTCCAACCTCCCTGGTGAGCCTCAATCTCCCTGCATTTCTGCCTTTCGTCCTCCATCTCTGCCCCCCCTTCCTCCCAACTCTCTGGCACCCCCAAGAGGCTATGTTTCCTTTCAGCTCGCTTTCTTTCTCAGCTCCACCAATCACTTTCTCTCCCAGCAGGATATTGCTCTGTAAGTCAAGGTCCCAACACCTGTATCACCTTTGCGGGCTCTCGGTGTGAACTGCGCGTCTCCACTGTTGCCCTCTTTGAGACCCCTGATTTACAGCCCCTCTCCCTTGAAGGCTACAGAAGGGGGCGGCAAAGGGTGAGATGGTGAGATACCATCCCTGGACTCAACGGACATGAATCTGAGCAAACTCTGGAAGATACAGGGGTTGCAAAGACTCAGACTGAACGCCACCTCCCTTTTTTCCTCACCTATAACTCCCCGGAGATGCTGTTTTTTCTAAACTTCTCTCCTTTCCCCACCTGCTACCGAAGGGGTATTCTCTTTCATGTCGCTGTCTCTTCCAAGTTCCTCACAATCCTCTTCACTGTCATCGCTTCTCCCTCATGCCTTTCTCCATTTTCTATTTCTCTCGGAGTCGCTGTCTCTGCTTCTCATGACCACACCTCGCCCATTAACTACAGGGTAGGAGACTGAGTAAGTAGCGCCGCTTCCACAAGAGCCACATTCCAGCAGGTGGAATTGGGGACGGAACCATGGGTGTCACGTGGCTGGTCACCCCCACACGGTGTCAGCGGAACGGTCACTGTGAAGGCAAGGCCTGAGGGGCAGTAGGACCCGCCTGAGGAGACGTGAGGACAGGGGCTGGGAGGAGGGGATCTCAGGAGAGGGGCGGGCTCTCCAGAATCCCAGGACGGGGAGAGGGCGCGGCCTCCAGAGGCCGAGAGGGCGAGGCTGAGGAGCGCGGAGCGAATAAACCACCTCGCCGAAGAGAATTTTATGCGCTGCAGGAAAGGCAGAGGGGTCCGTGAGGTCAGTAAATGGTTTTAAGAGGCAAAGGGGTGTGAAACGGAGCGTCTCAACGGTCTGAATTCAGGACTCGGCTTCACGGAGACTTTAAAACAATAGGGGAGGCGCCCTACGCCGCTCTCGGAGACGTCTGAATTTGCTGCGGGTGGTCGGGCGGGCGCGCGGATATAGACTCAGTAGCGACCGTCAGGCCCGGGGTAGTGAGGAAAAGAGACTGCGAGGCGCAAGTTTGACTAGAAAGACAAACTCACTGCGCTGAGACGTCCACTCGCCGCTCTCCGCTTCCGGGTATGCGTGACGCCAAGCGCACCCTCAGTGAAACGGCCTAGCGGCCTGGGGGCGAGCACAGGGCATCAGGGGGCCGGTCTTGAAGCGAAGCCAATCGTGCGTGGGGACCTTGGGAGGGTGTGGTGGACCTCGGGGCGCGGCGGGCGGGACCTCGGGGCGCAGCAATTCACTGCTGTAATCCCTGCTGAAGATGACTGCGGCTAGGAAGTTTAAGACAGCCTGCTCCTTGAAAGGAAAGGTATGATAAGTTATCAGTGTATTTTAAAGCAAAGGCATCACTTTGCCAACAAGGGTCCCTATTGTCAAAGCTATCGTTTTTCCAGTAGCAGGTAGGGATGTGAGACTTGGTCCATAAAGAAGGCTGAGCATAGAAAAATGGATACTTTCCGATTGTGGTGCTGGAGAAGTCTTGAGCCCCTGGGACAGCAAGGAGATCAAACTAGTCCATCCTGAAGGGATATTCAGGATGAATATTAGCCTGAATATTCACTGGAAGGACTAGATGCTGAAGCGCCAATACTTCGGCCACCTGATGCAAATATCAGACTGATTGGAAAAGACCTTGATGCTGGGATGGATTGAGGGCAGGAGGAGAAGGGAGCAGCAGAGGATGACATGGTTAGGATAGCATAACCAACTCAATGCACATTAATCTGAGCAAACTTCAGGAGATAGTAAAGGACAGGGAAGCCTGCCCTGCTACAGTCCACAGGGTTGCAAAGAGTCAGACACGACTTAGTGACTGAACAACAACAATAAATCATTGCTAGGGCAAAGACTGGGAAACTAGAGTGTCTGTTTTTTTCCCCAGGTAAACAAAGGGCCTAGTGTGAGTCTTAATGCAGTGTTAATGGGGAAACGTGGCTCTTGGCAGTAAGCCTTTTCCTGGAAGTGAAGTGGGAGAATTCTTTAACCTTTGCTATTTTCCATAATTACAGGGTCTGAAGTAAGCTTCAATTTTGTCATCATAAACTATAACACCAAGCAAAAGTAAAAAATGATAAACACACTTCTCAAAAATGGAACATTAGGAATATTAAACCAATAATAATAAAAACAACGAATGCCTGAGAACCTCGGTGTATGTACCTTAGAACATTGGTGAATGGTTCTGCCAGTTCCTGTAGAGCTGTGTCAGTCTGGTCCTGTCACATCCTAGAGACATCAGTACGTGTTGAAAGACATTCTTCTGAATCAAGTCAGAGGTCTGGGTTGCTGTTAAATTGAATAAGAACCCAGAGGTTATATATTAATGCCAAACTCTTGGCTCTGTGCATCAATGCCAAACCAAAATACTTAAAAAATAAATACAGAATTATGAAAGAGAAAGAGTAGCTTTACATATTTGCCAGGCTAAGACGGAACACATTAGGCCCTCTCCCTGGTGAGCAGGGAGAGGTTATATTGTCAGCCTGGGGATATATGATAAGGATCAAGGCAGTATTGTACTTTTCTTCTACAAAGTTGCAAAAGGATGGAGTTGATGACAAGATTAGGGTGTGTGCATGTTTTAGGTGCTCTGGTCTCCTTGATGAACCCCTCTGGTCCCTTAATCTTGCCTTAGGTGGTTTGCTGGCTGCTCCTCCTCTGATTGGAGGTGATACAGTGGTAAAGGATCTACTCACCATGCAGGAGACTCCCTGTGTCGGGGAGATATCCTGGAGGAGGAAATGGCAACCCACTCCAGTATTCTTGTCTGGGAAATTCCATGGACAGAGGAGCCTAGCGGGCTATAGTCCATTGGGTCACAAAAGAGTTGGCCAGGACTGACCGAGCGGGAGCATCCTTCTTTAATTAGCAAATTTTCTGCCCTTGGAAGTCATGGAAGGTCATGGAAACTGTAGTCTTCCCTGTAAGAAATGAGAAACAAAAGGCCTCTGTGCCCTGGAGCCCCATAGCACCCTGCTCCGCAACATCAATACTAAGAAAAATGTTTTCCATTTTGCCATCTCTCTGGTGATCATGAAAAAAAATCTTTGCACAGCATCATGGTTTTTATGTTCATGATTAGGCAGTAATGAAATATCTTACTGATGTAAATAAACTAATCACTCATCTCCTTTAGCACCTAAGCCCTGCTGAAGAATTAAGCTGGTGAGAATAAGCTTTTCTTGATTAACAAAGTAAAAAAGGGTCAGTTGTTTTCTGTGACCTCAGAAAGAAAGCTGTATGTGAATTGTCCTTCATGTTGAGCATGCAGACAGTATACACAGATGGGGATCAACTAGGTATTACCTTAAAATGGTTTGGCTCAGACACTTGGGGGAAAGTCTTCAGGAAATTTCAAGAGTAGATCTACTGAGGATTTAGCACATCTGAACTAATAAACACAAACTGAACTGAATTATCCAAGGAACTGAACACTGTTGGGAAAATAAAATTAAAGACAAAAATGAATGGGCCTGGAGATTACCATAAGTGAGTAAGTCAGAAAAAGACAAATATTAGATATCACTTATATTTGGAATCTGGAAAAATGATACCACTGAACTCATTTACAAAACAGAAACGTCCTACTGTATAACACAGGGAACTCTGCTCTATGTTATGTGGCAGCCTGGATGGGACAGGAGTTTGGGGGAAAATGGATATATACATAAACATACATATATATATGTGTATATATATATATGGCTGAGTCCCTTGATACTGTCATTTATCCCAACCCCTTAAAAGACCCGACTCCAAATCCATGGCTGATTCATGTCAGTGTATGGCAGGAACCACTACAATACTGTAATTAGCCTCCAACTAATAAAAATAAATGGAAAAAAAACCCCAAAAAACACTGATAGACAAAAAAAAACCTGAATCCTCTCAGGACCAGCAGTACCCTACACCCATCCCCACCCCACCCCCAAGTACAAAAGCTCCCCCATACTACCATGTCTTTGCTTTTTTAAAAAATATTTCATTGGAGTACAGTTGTTTCATAATGTTCTGTTAGTTTCAGGTGTTCAATTAATTGAATCAATTATATACACACATAAAACCAGTCAATCCTAAAGGAAATCAGTGCTGAATATTCATTGGAAGGACTGATGCTGAAGCTCCAATACTTTGGCCACTCACTGGAAAAGACCCTGATGCTGGGAAAGATTGAGGGCAAGAGGAGAAGGGGGCGACAGAGGATGACATGGTTAGATAGCATCACCGACTCAATGGACATGAATTTGAGCAAATTCAATACAGTATAAAAAGTGAAGAGTTTGCTAATAAAAAGTTTTTTTTCTAAAAAACAATATACCCATGAAGAAGCGTAAAATATTTGGAAAGGCCACCATATGTGAATCATACTTAAATATTTATAAATGAAATATTCTGCAGTGAAAGTAAAACTGAATAAATAGAACAATTTACTACCTATGCAGTGCCCTTAAATATCCAGTTCATTGGCTCCAAATCACATATAATAAAGAGTGAAGTTTGTAACTTTATTAAAAAGGTCAGAGACTATGTTGTTGAGATTAAAGTATGATAGGAAAGCATTCAAGATATAATGCAAAGGATGTCATAATAAATATTATAGAATATTAATGTATCTTTTATGCAAAAGTAACTTTTGGGCCTTTAATATAAAACATGTGCTATTCTAAGCCATGTAACAATCTTCAATTCAGTTCAGTTCAGTCACTCAGTCATGTCCGACTCTGTGACCCCACAAATCACAGCACACCAGGCCTCCCTGTCCATCACCAACTCCCGGAGTTTACTCAAACCCATATCCATTGAGTCAGTGATGCCATCCAGCCATCTCATCCTCTGTCTTCCCCTTCTCCTCCTGCCCCCAACCCCTCCCAGCATCAGGGTCTTTTCCAATGAGTCAGTCCTTTGCATCAGGTGGCCAAAGTATTGGAGTTTCAGCTTCAACATCAGTCCCTCCAATGAACACCCACAACTGTTCTCCTTTAGGATGAACTGATTGGATTTCCTTGCAGTCCAAGGGACTCTGAACAGTCCTCTTCAACACCACAGTTCAAAAGCATCAATTCTTTGGTGCTCAGCTTTCTTCACAGTCCAACTCTCACATCCATACATGACCACTGGAAAACCCATAGGTTTGACTAGACAGACCTTTGTTGGCAATGTAATGTCTTTGCTTTTTCATATGCTATCTAGGCTGGTCATAACTTTCCTTCCAGGGTGTAAGCGTCTTTTAATTTCATGGCTGCAATCACCATCCACAGTGATTTTGGAGCCCCAAAAATAAAGTCTGACACTGTTTCCACTGTCTCCCCATCTATTTCCCATGAGGTGATGGGACCAGATGCCATGATCTTAGTTAGCTGAAGCCTGGCTTGGAGAATTTTGAGCATTACTTTACTAGTGTGTGAGATGAGTGCAATTGTGCGGTAGTTTGAGCATTCTTTGGGATTGCCTCTTGCCTCTTTTTGGGATTGGAATGAAAACTGACCTTTTCCAGTCCTGTGGCCACTGCTTGAGTTTTCCAAATTTGCTGGCATATTGAGTGCAGCACCTTCACAGCATTATCTTTCAGGATTTGAAATCGCTCAACTGGAATTCTGTCACCTCCACTAGCTTTGTTTGTAGTGATGCTTTCTAAGGCCCACTTGAACTTCACATTCCAGGATGTCTGGCTCTAGGTGAGTGATCACACTATGGTGATTATCTGGGTCGTGAAGACCTTTTTTGTACAGTTCTTTTGTGTATTCTTGCCACGTCTTCTTAATATCTTCTGCTTCTGTTAGGTCCATACCATTTCTGTCCTTTATCGAACCCATCTTTCCATGGAATGTCCCCTTGGTACTTCTAACAATCTTAAATTCTTTTAAAAGGTTTGAGGAAAATTATCACAAATTTTCAATACAGGGAAATAGCGTTACTGTGCAGGACCTCAACTGACAAAGAAACTAAGTGAGACAAAAAGGGTTTGAGCCTGAACCTACAGTCTGAGAAAACATATTCTTAACCATGATCACCCATCCAAACTGTATATATTACAAAATGATACCCCCCAAAATCAGGAATTTAGAAAGAAAACTTTCTAAGAAAGATGCAGTAAGAAGTGAACTTTGTCAAGTAATCATGTTATTAATATTCAGACATCCCCTGTAGAAATGGATTCTGAGTCATCATGGTTGCACTTCTTTGGGTGCGTCATGAGAAACTTGTTCAATAAATGAAAAGGGGTTATTTTTTGTAGTGAATTATAACATGTGGAAGATGGAGAGATGGGTGAAGTGCTGTGAAAATTAGGAATTTTCAGAGAACAACTGAAATGTGCTAGGAATAAGTGTTCCCATTCTCATCAAGATCCTATGTGAGGAAAGATCAGGACTGAGAAGGGGTCTGACTGGCATGCAGGGAATATTCATGTGTTGTGTGGGAGCACAGCCGATGACTGCATATCTGTGTGAATAAAAGGGCAATTCAAATACTGACCTTAACAGAAAAGAAGAACTGGCTTACCAGGAAGCATACTACTGTCCAATTTTTATCTGTGAGTGTTATACTATGGGTGTGGAACAGAAAGATTTTATTTAATTTAATATTTCTTTATTTTTGTTCTGCATTGGGTCTTAGTTCTGGCTCTCAGGCTCAGTAGTTGCCCCACAGCGTGTGGGATCTGGGATGGAACCTGCGACCCTTACACTGCAAGGCAGATTCTTAACCACCATACCACCAGGGAAGGCCCTAAAATGAAAGTTTAAAATTAAAAAAAAATTTTTTTTCTTTTTTAAATTATGAAAGTATGATAACACATTTACAGGAGACTTGGAAAATACAGAACAAGCTGTCTGACTCTTTGCAACCTCATGAACTGCAGCCTGCCAGGTTCCTCTGTTCATGGGGATTCTCCAGGCACGAATACTAGAGTGGGTTGCCATGCCCTCCTCCAGAGGATCTTCCCAACCCATGGATTGAACCCAGGTCTCCCACATTGCAGGTGGATTCTTTACCATCTGAGCCACCAGGGAATCCCAAGAATACTGGAGTGGGTAGTCTATCCCTTTTCTAGGGGATCTTCCTGACCCAGGAATTGAACCAGAGTCTCCTGCACTGCAGGTGGATTCTTTACCAGCTGAGCTACCAGGAAAGCCCAGGTTACATATAGTACACTATATATTATAATTGTTTTTCAAGTATATAAATTAAGTAGATAAATTAAGATTTTTAGTTGGAGTTTCAATATCAAACTCTCAAAAATTAATAGAATGAATAGACAGAGAAGTAGAAGGATGTAGTAAATCTGAAGAAATCTATAAAACAATTCAACATAATTAAGACGTATACAATTTTCACACAACAGTAGGATACAAATTTTATTCAACTTTCCATAGAGTATAAACTACTCTCACAGACTAAAATTTTAATATAGTTCCGTATTTTGGCATGTAGTATTACTGCTAAAACTCCTGAAAATTTATTATCCCAGTGATTTAAAAAAAAAAATTTAGGCTTAAAACTTCTAATTCAATTCTGAGGATATGTTGTTAAAAAAAAGGAAATTAACATGTGATACAGTATTATTAACTAAAGTACTGAAACAGAAGATTTTAAAAATGAACAGATTAAGATAGTGAAGGGAGAGAACAGGTTTACTTCTATTACTATGTCATGTGTCATACTGAATATTCTATAACTTCCATTTCCATCCATATATTTAATATATTTAATAAAAACATACATAATATTTTAGGTGATTGGGCAGATATTTTCTTAGCAGAAACCAGAACAAAAAAACCAGGAAAAGACCAACTAAAGGTGGGTGAATATATGCTGTGCACACACATGCAGACTTAAGGAATCGTATCCACAGTACCATACACTAAGGAGATCAGGATTTCAGAATGAAGATCCTGACTGGGTGAGCAGAGTTTTCATGGGTAAATAAGCAGAGCAGAAGGTGTTTGAGCATTTGAAGGATAAGATCCCATTAGTTAAGAATGTGAACAAAAAGAAAATGTTGGAATATACTGACTCTGGTATATTGAAAGCTTATGCTAACACTCTATGTTACTAAACATAACAGTGTTCCTTTAGGTGGCCTCTCTAATTACTGGACATAATATCATTACCTTTTGTAACACGAGCTCTGCAAGGAAAATATAGAAAACAATGAGGAATGATGTTAGAAGTATAACAGGTCTATCCTGAAAGTGGAAAACATGAAGATTAATGCTTAGAACCAACATCCCCACTTTCTTTGCCACAACCACCCACACAGGGAAGAACTCACCATGTGGAACAGTCCTCTGCTGCCCACTGTCTCAGGTGGGGCTCAGGACAGTCAACTCCTACACACAGACCAACAGTTTTTTCACACTTTCTCTTGAATCACACTCCCCTCCTGGTGAGGCCTCATGTACACAGCAGCTGTGGGCACCTCAGCTGATCTGACAATCCCCTTCAGGTCACAGACCAGGCCCTGGTTCATCCCCATGCAGAGCCCAGATCTCAGCCCTCAGGAAGTGAGGACTCACAGTCACCATGCTCAGTGAGGGATCCAGACAGGAATCACCTTACATAATCTGGAGCTTTCAATCAGTTCAGTTCAGTCGCTTAGTCATGTCCAACTCCTTGTGACCCCATGGACTACACAATGCCAGGCTTCCCTGACCCTCACCAACTCCTGGAGCTTTGGCCCAGCCCAAATATCTGAAGGGGAATCTCTGGTCAACAGGCACAAAACATATATGCAACATGGCTCAGTGACCTAATGCGAAGCCTGGTTTGAGAACTACCCAGAGGAGACAAGTCCAGCACAGCCTCACTTTCTATTTCCTTTCCAGATTTATTGAGGTATAATTGAGGAATAAAAACTGAGTACATATGACACTTACAATGTATTTATTTGACAGATGTGTACACTGTGTAATAATGATCAGAATCAAGGAATTTACACTTCCATCATCACACAATTTACATTTTTTGTGTGTGGTGAGAACACTTAAATGATATTCTCTCAGCAATTCAGGTATTTAGTAACACTCTGATTAAAGAGTTAGCATGCTATATGATCAGATCCCCAGAACCTTCACTTTACATTATTGTTCTCCCCATTTTTTTTCCTCTCTACTGATTTTGTTCCTCTCCACTCTCCCTGTTCCTGCCCTCCTATTTCCACCGGCACAGAGTGCTGCCCGCTCTGCAACTTGTTTCCCCTCTCACGACTCTTTTCCCGACAACCTTTCTAACAACGCTAACTCTCTAAGTAGTTTTGCCTCCTTCCTTCACCATCCCTGACCCCCGTCTGTCCTCTGGTCACACTCCTTCCATCCCCTTGCGGCTCCCTTTGTCCCTATTCTCTATCGCCCCCTGGTGGCTATGCTTCCTTCCCGTTCTTTGCTCCTCCAATCACGTTTCCCCGCTCCCAGTACCACGTTGCTTCGAAGGCCAAGTTTTCAAATATTTTATCCCCATCGCCTCACTCTGGGAGTGAAGTGTCTCACGGCTGTCATCGCCCCTCCTGCAGTGCTTCTTGGGCCCCTCTCCCTATGCTGCTCTCCAATCCTTGTAAATGTTTTTATGTTACAGTCTCTTTGCAACATCCTCAGCCATCCTGCACCTTCCCTTTAGTAGCAGTAGTAGTTAAGTCGCTAAGTCGTGTCCTGCTAGGCTCCTCTGTCCATGGGATTCTCCAGGCAAGAATACTGGAGTGGATTGCCATTTATTGGTTCTCCATTTTTTCCCCCTCCTCAGTTCTATTTCTATCTCAGAGCTCCGTCTCTGTTTGTCCGGAACCTCCTGGCCCACATGTTTAAAGGAATAGCGACTGAAAAAGATGCCCGCGGACAGGAAGAGACCATCTGGAATTGGGACCCGAAGGAGTGGGTGGTACAAGGTTGGCCGGGCCACCTGCCCCCATGAGGGGTGACGGGACAGGCTGACAGGGAGGGGAGGCCCGCGGGGCAGAAGGAGCAGCCCGAGGAGACCGAGGACAGACGGCCGGGAGGGAGTGGGTCTCAGCAGCGGGGCGGGCTCCCGGAATCCCTGGACCGGGGAGAGGGCGCGGCCTCCAGGGGCCGAGAGGGTAAGGCTGAGGAACACGGAGCGAATAAACCACCTCGTAGAAGAGGATTTTAAGTTGTGCACGAAGGATGGCAGGGTCAGTGGGGTCAGTGAAGTCGCGCCCGACTCTGTGACCCCATGGACTGTAGCCTACCAGGCTCCTCCCATGGGCTTTTCCAGGCAAGAATACTGGAGTGGGTTGCCACATCCTTCTCCAGGGGATCTTCCCCACCCGAGGATCGAACCCCGATCTCCCTCATTGTAGGCAGACGCTTTACTGTCTGAGCCACCAGTGGGGTCAGTAAAGCGTTTTAACCAGGAAAGGTACGAAACGCAGCATCTCAATGGACTAAAGGCAGGAACCGGTTTCAGAGCAACTGTAAACCGAAAGGGAGGCACCCCTTCGTCTCTCACCGAGACGTCTGAAATGCTAGGGGTGGGACGGGCGCGAGAATGTATGGCCTTTGACACCAGGCACAGAGGAAAGGAGACTTCGAGGCTCAGGTGTCAGCCTGAGACGGAGATGGATGCTGCGCAGAGACAACTTCGCTCGGGGGTGGGGGTGGGGGTGGGTGGTGTGTGTGTGTGAAGGACAGGGAAGACCTCCGTGCTGCAGTTCGTGGGCTTGCAAAGAGTGGGACACTATTGACCGATTGAACTTACAGGGCTTACATCACTTACAGGACACTTACATCACTTACAGGGCAAAGACTGGGAATTTGTGGAGTCTCTGTGTCTGTTTTTTTCCCAGGTAAACAGGGGGCCAAGTGGGGGGTCTTAAATCAGAGATAATGTGGAATGATGGGTCTTGGCAGTAAGCCGTTTCCTGGAAGTAAAGTGGGAGAATTTTTAAATCTTTGCTCTTTTCCATAATTACAGGGTCAGAAGTAAACTTCAACTCTGTCACCATAAACTGTAACAACAAGCAAAACTCAAAAATGATAAATATACATGCTATAGTTGAAAAACCTTAGGAATATTAAGCCAATAATAATAAAAACAACAACAAAGGCCCGAGAACCTTGGTTTATGTACCTCAGAACCTCAGTGAAGGGCCCTGTCTGTTCTTTTGGGGCTGTGTTGTGTCTGGTCTCGTCACATCTTAGAGACATCGGTATGTGTTGAAAGACGTTCCTCTGAATCATCAAGTCAGAGGTCTGGGTTGCTGTTAAATTGAAGAAGAACCTAGAGGTTATACCGATGCCAAACTCTTAGCTCTCAGTGCACCAATGCCAAACCAAAATACTTGAAATACAAATACAGAGACATATGGAGGAGAGACAAGGAGGGAACACAGTAGGCTAACATTCCTCAACACCTGTGCCCCACTCCCAGGTGAGTAGAGAGAAGTTATACAAGCAGGCAGGTGTATATGATAAGCATCAAGGAAGTAACAGTCTTGTATTCTTTCTTCTACAAAGTTGCCAAAGGATGGGGTTGCTAACAAGGTTAGGGTGTGTGCAGGGTCTTAGGTGGTTTGGTCTCCTATCTTGATGAGCCCCTCTGGTCCCTTAATCTTGCCTCAGGTGGTTTTGTGGCTGTTCCTCCTTTGATTGGAGGTGGTGTGGTGGTAAGGAATCTGCTTGCCATGAAGGACACTTGGGTTTGATCCCTGGGTCAGTTATACCCCTGGAGGAGGAAATGGCAACCCACTCCAGTATTCTTTTCTGGGAAATTTCTTGGACAGTGGAACCTGATAGGCTACAGTCCATGGGGTCACAAAGAGTACGACAGGAGTGAAAGAGGGTGAGCATCCTTCTGTGACTAGCAACTGTTCTGCACTTTGGAGCTCAGAGAAGGTCATGGAGGCTGGAGTCTTGTTTATAAAAACTGGGAGACAAAAAGCCCTCCTTGTCCGGGAGCCCCACAGGGCCCTGCTCAGCAGCATCACTGTTAAAAAATATATATTTTTCACTTTTCCCTTTTTCTGGTGATCATGAAAAAAATCTTTGGGTAGCATCATGTATTTTATGTTCACAATTAGACAGGATAAGCAGTAATGAAAATCTCATACTTACGTAAGTAAATTATCCAGTCATCTCCTCTTTTAGTATATGTGCCGCCGAAGCGAGCACTAATCCTCTCCTCTTTTACCAGCTGAGCCCTGCTGAAGAACTAAGCTGGTGAGAATAAACTTTTCTTGATTAATAAAGTAAAAAAAGGGTCAGATGTTTTCTGTGACCTGAGAATGAAAGCTGGACATGAACTGTCCTTCATGTTGGGCATGCAGACAGTACACATAGATGTGGATCAACTTGGTGTTACCTTAAAACAGTTTGGCCCAGACACCTGGGGGAAAGTCCTCACAAAATTCCAAGAGTAGATCTACTGAGGATTTAGCACATATGAAATAGTAAACACAAACAGAACTGAATTATCCAAGAAATACTCAACATTGTTGGGAAAATAAAAATTAAATGATAGAAATGAATGGGCCTGGAGATTATCATACTAAATGACTAAGTCAGTGAAAGACAAATATTAGATATCACTTATATATGGAATCAAATCCCTTACAATTATACAGTGGAAGTGACTGATAGATTCAGGGGATTAGATCTGATAGACAGAATGCCTGAAGAACTATGGATGGAGGTTCATGACATTGTACAGGAGGCAGTGATCAAGACCACCCCCAAAAAAGAAATGCAAAAAGGCAAAATGGTTGTCTGAGGAGGGCTTACAAATAGCTGAGAAAAAAACAGAAGTGAAAGGCAAAGGAGAAAAGAAAGATACACACATCTGAATGCAAAGTTTCAAAGAATAGCAAGGAGAGATAAGAAAGCCTTCCTCAGCAAACAATGCAAAGAAATAGAGGAAAACAATAGAATGGGAAAGACTAGAGATCTCTTCAAGAAAATTAGAGATATCAAGGGAATATTTCATGCAAAGATGGGCACAATAAAGGACAGAAATAGTATGGAACTAACAGAAGCAGAAGATATTAAGAAGAGGTGGTAAGAATACACAGATCAACTATACAAAAAGATGTTCACGACCCAGATAATCATGATGGTGTGATCACTCACCTAGAGCCAGACATCCTAGAACGTGAAGTCAAGTGGGCCTTAGGAAGCATCACTACGAACAAAGCTAGTGGATGTGATGGAATTCCAGTTGAGTTATTTCAAATCCTAAAAGGTGATGCTGTGGAAGTGCTGCACTCAATATGCCAGCAAATTTGGAAAACTCAGTAGTGGCCACAGGACTGGAAAATGTCAGTTTTCATTCCAATTCCAAAGAAAGGCAATGCCAAAGGATGTTTAAACTATGCACAATTGCACTCATCTCACACGCTAGCAAGTAATGCTCAAAATTCTCCAAGCCAGGCTTCAAAAGGACGTGACCCGTGAACTTCCAGATGTTCGAGCTGGATTTAGAAAAGGCAGAAGAACCAGGGATCAGCTTGCCAACATCTGTTGGATCATTGAAAAAGCAAGAGAGTTCTGTAAAAACATATACTTCTGCTTTATTGACTATGCCAAAGACTTTGACTGTGTGGATCACAACAAACTGTGAAAAAATTCTTCAAGAGATGGGAATACCAGACCACCTGACCTGCCTCTTGAGAAATCTGTATGCAGGTCAGGAAGCAACAGAACTGGACATGAAACAAGAGACTGGTTCCAAATAGGGAAAGAAGTACATCAAGGCTGTATATTGTCACCCTACTTCTTTAACTTATATGCAGAGTATATCATGTGAAACGTCAGGCTGGATGAAGCACAAGCTGGAATCAAGATTGCCGGGAGAAATATCAATAATTTCAGATACGCAGATGACACCACACGTATGGCAGAAAGTGAAGAACTAAAGAGCCTTTTGATGAAAGTGAGAGTGAAAAAGTTGACTTAAAGCTCAACATTAAAAAATGAAGATTATGGCATCCGGTCCCATCACTTCATGGCAAATAGATGGGGAAACGAAACAGTGAGAGCCCCCCAAAATAAAGCACCACTGCACCATTGCAGATGGTGACTGCAGCCATTAAATTAAAAGATGCCTGCTCCTTGGAAGAAATGCTATGACCAGCCTAGACAGCATATTAAAAAGCAGAGACATTACTTTGCCAATAATGGCCGTCTAGTCAAAGCTACGGTTTTTCCAGTAGTCATGTATGGATGTGAGAGTTGGACTATAAAGAAAGCTGAGCATCGAAGAATTGATGCTTTTGAACTGTGGTGTTGGAGAAGCCTGTTGAGAGTCTCTTGGACTGCAAGGAGATCCAACCAGTTCACCCTAAAGAAAATCAGTCCTGAATATTCTTTGGAAGGACTGATGCTGAAGCTGAAATGCCAATATTCTGGCCACCTGATGCAAAGGACTGACTCATTGGAAAAGACCGTGATGCTGGGAAAGATTGAAGGCGGGAAGAGAAGGGGATGACAGAGGATGAGATGGTTGGATGGCATCACCGACTTGATGCACATGAGTTTGAGCAAGCTCTGGGAGTTGGTGATGGACAGGGAAGCCTGGCATGCTGCAGTCCATGGGGTCACAAAGAGTTGGACATGAATGAGCGACTGAACTGAACTGATACATGCAATCTGAAAAAATGATACCAATGAACTTATTTACAAAACAGAAACATCTCACTGTATAGCACAGGGAACTCTGCTCAATGTCATGTGGCAGCCTGGATGGGACAGGAGTTTGGGGGAAGAATGAATACATATATATGTATGGGAGTCCCTCGATTGTCATTTATCCCGACCCCTTAAAAGACCTGAATCTTCTTGTAACCCAGCAGAACCCTGCACTCATCCCCAAGTACACCCACCCCCAAGTACAAAGGCCCTTCTATGTCTTCTCTTTTCTAAACATTTTTACTGGAGTATAGTTGATTCACAATATTGTGTTAGTTTCAGGCGTACAGCAAATTCAATCAGTTATACATATCCCACACTTTGTTAGATTCTTTCCCCCATAGCTCATTAGAGAGTATTGAGTAGAATTTACTGTGCTATACAGTAAGTCACTATTATCTACTTTATATATACTATATGTATATGTCAGTCCCAATCTCCCAGTTTATCCCTCCACACCTCACTCCCCGATAACCATGTTTGTTTTGTATGTCTATACCTCTATTCTGGTTTTGTAGATAAGTTCATTTGTACCCTTTGCTTAGATTCCACAGATAAATGAAACCCTAGATTTGTCTTTCTCTTCTGTCTCTTGTTGATAGAAAAGCTGAAGTCTCCCAGACCTCCCGAGGCACAAAAGAGAAAGACTCAAGCATCTAATAGATAGTACAGAGGAACCACAGGCTTAGTATCTGAGGCACATTTCTCAGTCCTTTTAAAAAATATTTTATTTATTTGACTGCATTGGGTCTCAGTTGTGGCACATGGAATCTTTGGTGTGGCACGTGGGCTTTCGTTTTGGCGTGCCAGTTTAGTTGCCACGTGGCATGTGGGATCTGTTTCATGACCAGGGCTGGAACCTATGTCCCCTGCATTGGAAGGGAAATTAAATTCCTAACCACTGGATCACAAGAGAAGTCCTACATTTCTGAGTTTTACAGATACGGTAACTGTCACCAGAGGGGAAAAGGCCAACTGCATGATGACCCAACTGCACCCATGCCATAAAGTGCTTCATCTTGAGCCAGTACCGAGTCTGTGCCTAGGGCAGTTCCCAGAACTGGCCTTAAGAGAAGTGGATTAACACTACTGTTCATAATAATCTGTATCTTTGGGGGAAGCAGAATAATCATAGCTTGTTCTGCCTGTGTACATAAAGAGGCATGCACACCTGGCGGTAAAGAGATACTACATAATAGCTGGGACATGAAAGCAACCCAGGTGCCCATCAACAGATGAATGAATAAAGAAGATGTGGTATGTAAATACAATGGAATGTTACTCAGCCACAAGAGGGATGGAGCTGGAGTCAGTTGAAGTGAGGTGGATGAACTTAAGAGTCTGTTATACAGAGTGAAGTCAGAGGAAAACAAGCATGATACATCAACACATATATATTGCTGTCCACTCACTCAGTTGTATCTGACTCTTTGCGACCCCATGGACTGTGGCACGCCAGGCTTCTCTGTCCTTCACCGTCTCCCAGAACTTGCTCATAATCATGTCTATTGAGACGGAGATGCCATCAAACCAGTTCCTCGTCTGTCTTCTCTGTAAATAGGTTCATCAGAAAAAATAGTACTGATGAACTATTCACAGTTAAGACATGGAGACCCAGACTTAGAGAATGGACCTGTGGACACAGCAGTGGAAGGAGAGGCTACAACAAATTGATAAAGTAGCACTGACATATACTATCATGTGTAAAATACATAGCTAGTGGGTACATCCTCAGCCATCCTGCATATTCCACTTGGTTCTCCCTTTTTCTCCTCAGTTGTTCTACTTCTATCTCTGTCTCTGCTTCTTTGGAATCTCCTGGCCCACATACAGGAATGGCGACTAAAAAAGATGCCCGTGGATGGGAACAGACCATCTGCAATTGGGAACCGAAGAAGAGTGGGTAGCAAAAGGCTGGCCCAAGTCACCTGCCCCTATGCGGGGTGAGGGAAAGGGAAAGGTCTGCGGGGCAGAAGGAGGTGCCTGAGACTGAAGGACAGAAGGGGACGGGGTCTCAGGAGAGGGGTGGGCTCTCCAGAACCCCAGAACCGGGGAGAGGACGCGGCCCCTCCGGGAGCGCGGCGGCCGGCGCGGCCTCCAGGGCGACGCTGAGGGCCACGAATCCACTTCGCGGACGAGGACTTTATATGGGGCGGAGGACAGAAGTAGTAAAGGGTTTTAAGCAGGAAAATGCGATGAAAGGCGGTGTCTTGTGTAACGATCGCAGAAATGTCAAGAGAACTGACCAGCCTCACACCATCAAATCAAAATGAACACATACCCAACGAGTAACAGCGATGTCACAGCGATGTCTGGGCTTACTCAGGTTAAGTGCCGGATGCTGGGCTGTAAGGTCGAGGGTCACTCCCAAGACCTTAAAGAAAGAATACGGCGGACATGCAGCACAGATTTACACTAGAACGTTGAAAAAACGGCTTCACACAAGTCAATCACTGTTTGGTACTCCATTTCCATACTGCGTTTCGGTTCCCAGGGATAGAGTCGGAAAAGAAGAGGCGGGACTTCCGGAGGCGGGGCCTGGGCGGAGCGTTACCGCCGGGGGCGGGGCGAGGACGGAGCCCAGGAGAGCTGGGAAGTGAAGGCGCTTCCCCTTACTTTCACCTGCTTACTCTATCTGTAAGTTTTAAGGTGAAAGCATATTTTGTAAGCCAAAATATGCTTTCATTTTACAAATGAAAACTAATATGCATGAGACTTATGATATATTCTGAGTAAAGGAGTAGCTAAACATAATGGCAGCAATTAAATATGAAACAGACACACACACATACTTCTCTGGATCTTTTGATTAAATTTTCCTCTCAGGAAAACTGCCCTCTACATTTCCAAGAATAAGACTAAGTTTCCATTGATATACAACATCTATTGCCAATTAAAGGAGAAAGTGATCGCCATTCTCCTTGTAGTAGTTCCACCACATACTCAGTCATAACCTGTAACTCTCCTCCCATGAAAAGCCCATGTCCCTTCAGCCTTCCCTATTCAAAGTCAATTGATACAACATTCTTTCCTATAACCCACAGCTGCCTATCTATGGAAGGTCAGCCTGAACATAATGGCCATGATGAGTCATCACAATTGTACATTATTCTCTTTCCCTCCCTGACTAATTCACACTACTGAAGTTGATAATTTTGTGTCCTTGTTTCTCCAGTGAACACAAATGTGAACAAACCACACCTAATGAAGTTGGCCCCCTCATCCGATTCCTTCATGAAACCATCATGAGACTGTAACACAGCAAGTGGAGCACAACTCTTAGCAGGTAGCCACTGCTGTGTCTCATTACTCTGCACCCTGTTACCAGGCAACAGGTCTTGCTCACTCATTGTTTGGTGGTTCGGTGGGCCCCGCCCACAAGCAACCAACTGTCATTGAGTGACGTTTGTTGTCCTGCTTGGTTATTGGCCAGCACTGCAGTGGGCCCTGCCCATCAGTTAACTGTCAATGAAGAACCACTGGGTAAGTGATTCAGTCAAGGGTCAGTGGTGGTCATCAGGTGGAGAGCGAGGTAAGAGGCAGATTCAGGCCTTCTCCCGGAGGCCCTGCAGCTTACCCAGCCTTGGGCCACTGGGTGAGCTAGAGGGCTCAGGGAATAGCCTGGGGACTATGTTCTGCAGGGCTTGAAAGCCCTCACTAAGGCCCTCTGCTAGCCTTGGCCCAGTTCTTGAGGCCGTGGTGAACTTCTCCATGCCTGTCTCTGTGACCTAATAGCAGTGGCCGTCTGCATGGGTCACAGTCTGTGAGACCTGGTCTCCTCTTTTGAGTGGCCTGAGGAGACTGAGGGCCAGCTGGGTTGGGTGCCTGGCTCCCTAAGGGATGACAGCTGGGGAGGATGTGGGAACATGGCCCTGAAGGAACTGCCAACTGAGATCTGCCTCCTCTTGGTCAGGACTGGGACCTTGGAGAGTGAAAGTTGTGCATTGGGACTTTGTCCTTTCTGTTCAGGACACAGCATAACATTCATCTGGTAGAGAGGTACAGGGACATCATTACCTGACCATAACCGGACCTCAAGAACAAAGGTTCTGACACTGAGAAGTCTCCAACAACTAACCATGTCCATCCCTCACCTATTGCTTTTAAAGCGACCTGCTGAAAGCTTTCAGTAACTCAGGTTCTTAGGGCATGAGCAACCCATCTCCTTGTACGAATCTGTAATAAACCTTTCTCTGTTCCAAACTTTTAATGTTTAGTATTGATGAGCTTCACTATGCGTTGGGCACATGGACTTGTGATTTCTGTAAAAAGACCATTGTGAAAGGCCTGTATTGAATGAATAAGATCAAAAGATTTCAAACTTCAAGTTTAAAGTCATAGATAGTAATGCAGTCTTTTCAACAAAATTTAAATATTTAAATACACACTGGAGATAATGAGCCATTTCCACACAAGTAAGTCCTTGTTCCCAGGATAAATGTGTCATGAGTTTTTAACATATTTTGACTTTGAATTATTCTGCAGTATATAGCAACTCAGACTAATCTCAAAAACTGAAGACTTAGTTATTCCCAGTATAGTTCCTCCGAAGTGTGGTCCACTGGGAGAACTGGTTAAGAAATTTACCACATACTTCTTAAAATAAAGATTCTCCCCAATATGAATTATTTGGTGAGTCCTGAGGACACACTGTTTCTTAAAGGTATTTCCACATTAAGTATATCTGTATTTTCTGTCCCATATTAATTCTCTCATTATGCCAAAGGCATGGACATTTGAAGAAGCTTTACAACATTCATTACAGTTGTAAGGGTGCTCTCAAATATAAATCCTCTGATGCTCCACAGTTTTCATCTTCGGGTAAAACCACTAGTGTTGCACCTTTTTTTCCCATAGAGTCCAGTTGTTTTTAAACATGGCTGTTTATTAGAGATACATCTGGAGCTTTGGAGAAAAAAAGCAATACTTGGGCATTTATAGTTTTCAAAAAATTCCAAGATAATTCTGGTATGCATGTGGATTTTAAAAAATGATTACAGGTTTTTCCATTAAAAGGCAATTTTGGTGATATAGAATTCTATTATTTTCTGTTGACCAATCATGATACAATGGTATTAAGTGAATAACAGTTACATAATCACAATAGTAAAAGATGTTTATCAGTTTTCACAATCAATAGCCAGCCAGAATTCAAAGATAATTATAATCGCAAGCCATAATAGGAACATGATTAACCTAACAATATAAAATAATTACCTACAATTTGGGGGATTAAGTAGAGTGATATGGTAAGCTGAAGTGCATACATGCACATGCTTTTATTGGCCCAGTCAGTCTATGTCTTTTGGTTGGTACATTTAATCCATTTACATTCAAGGTAATTATTGATATGTATGGTACTATTACCATTTTACTAATTGTTTTGAGTTTATCTTGTATAGGTCTTTTCTTTCTCCTGTGTTTCCTGCCTAGAGAAGTTCCTTTAACATTTGTTGTAAAAGTGGTTTGGTGATGCTGAACTCTCTTATTAACCTTTGCTTGTCTGGAAAGCTTTTGCTTTCTCCATCAAATCTGAATGAGTCTTGCTCATTAGAGTATTCTTGGTTTATAGGTTCTTCCCTTTCATCACTTTAAATATATAGTGCCATTCCCTTCTGGCTTGCATAATTTCTGTTGAGAAATCAATTTTTTAACCTTATGCGAGTTCCCTTGTATGTTGTAATTTTTCCCTTGTTGCTTTTAATATTTTATCTTTGTCTTAATTTTTGTCAGTTTGATTATTATGTGTCTCAGTGTGTTCCTCCTTAGATTTATCTTGCCTGGGACTCTGCACTTCCTGGACTTAGTTGACTATATCCTTTCCCATGTTAGCGGAGTTTTCAGCTATTATCTCTTCAAATATTTTCTCTGGTCCCTTTTCTCTCTCTCTTCTTCTGGGATCCCCTATCATGCAAATATTAATGTATTTAATGTTGTCCCAGAGGTCTCTTAGGCTTTTTTTTTTTCATTCCTCCCCCCGCCCCCCATATTCTGTTCTGCAGAAGTGATTTCCACCATTCTTAACTCCAGGTCATTTATCCGTTCTTCTGCCTCAGTTATTCTCCTATTGATCCTTTCTACTGTATTGTTCAACTCTGTTGGTTTGTTCTTTAGTTCTTCGGTAAACATTTTTTTGCATCTTCTCATTATATTTCTGAGATCCCGGATCATCTTCATGATTATTCTGAATCATGAATAATCTGGAAGGTTGTCTATCTCCACTTCATTTAGTTGTTTTTTTGGGGGTTTTATCTTGTCCCTTCATTTGTGACATAATTCTTCTTTTTCATCCTAATTAACTTAGAGTAATGTGGCTTTTGTTCTAGCTGCTATAGAATTGTGGTTCTCCTTGTTTCTTCTATATGCCCTCTGGTAGATGAGGCTAAAAGATTTGTGTAAGATTCTTGATGGGAAGGACTGAGTGGGAAAAACTGGGTCCACTCTGGTGGGCAGGGCCTTACCAAGTAAAACTTTAATCCAATTATGTGCTGATGGGTGGGGTTGTGCTCCCTCCCTGTTGGTTGTTCGGCCTGAGGCGACCCAGCTCTGGGGTTTATGGTCAGGTTAATGGTGACCTCCAAGAGGACTAACACCAAGGGGGACCTTCCTAGACTGCTGCTGTCAGTGACCCTGCCCCCATGGCGAGCCATTTTTGACCCATGGCTCCAGAGAAGACCCTCCAACTCCAGCAGGTAGGTCTGGTTCAGTCTCCTATGGGGTCACTGCTCCTTTCCCTTGGGTCTTGGTGCATGCCAAGATTTTGTTTATGCCCTCCAAGAGTGAAATCTGTTTCCCCCAGTCCTATGGAAGTTCTATAATCAAATCCCACTGGCCTTCAAAGTCAGATTCCCTGGGTATTCCCAGTTCCTTTGTTAGATCCCCAGGCTGGGAAGCCTGAGGTGGGGCTCAGAACTCTCCCTACAGTGGGAGAACTTCTTTGGTATTATTGTTCTTCAGTTTGTACATCGCCCATCCAGCCAGTATGGGATTTGATTTTATAGTGTTTCCACCCCTCCTACCGTCTCCTTGTGGCTTCTTGGTCTTTGGACCAATGTCCTCCTGTTGATGGTTGTTCAACAGCTAGTTGCAATGTTGGTGCTCTTGCAGGAGAAGATGAACACTTGTCCTTCTACTCCACCATCTTGAACTGTTAACTAGCATGCACATTATTTTTTGGTGGCTTCTCTCAAGGATGTATATTCTTAAGTCTAGTGATTTCTCTCCAATATAGAGTCTGTTGTTGCATGATATTTGAATTCAAGGGAAAGTCTTTACCATGTTTATTGCATTTTGAAGGTGTCAATCCTGTATTGTCCCCCAACGTTTGCTATATGGGTAAAATCCTTGCCACACACTATACTTGTGTGCTTTCACTCCAGAATACAGATCCCTTTATTTAATGAAAAGTGAGCAATAATTTGAAACTTTGCCACATTCATTACATTTGTTTTGTATGGATTACTTGGTGAACCCGGAGTTTAAGGCAATAGCTAAAAGCCTTGCAAAACTCAGTACATCTGTAAGCCTGTATGGATTATGGATTATCTGATGATTAGTGAGGTGTAAGCCCTGAGCAAAAGTTTTTCCACACTCATGGAATTGGTAAGGTTTCTCTCCAGAATGAGTTCTTTGGTGAATCCTGAGGTAGGATTATTGTCTAAAGGCTGTGCCATACTCAATACATTGGTATGATTTCTCTCCAGTATGAATACTCTCATGAAGCCTAAGGTGTGAACACCTGCTAAAAGCCCTGCCACATTCATTGTAAAGTCTCTTTCCAGTATGGGTCACCTGGTGTTTACTGAGGCTTCAATGGCTAAAGGATTTGCCACACTATACTTGCTACATTTCTATGATTTATCTCCAGCATGAATTCTTTGGTGAATAGTGATGTCAGACCATTGCTGAAAGGCCTTGCCACATTCAGTACACTTGTATGGTTTTTCTCCAGTATGAATCCTCTCATGATACCTAAGATGTGAAGGCTTGATAAAAGCCTTGCCACATTCAGTACACTTGTATGGCCTCTCTCCAGTATGAATCCTCTCATGATGCCTAAGATATGAAGGCTTAATAAAAGCTTTGCCACATTCATTACATTTGTAAGACTTCTCTCCAGTATGAATTACCTGATGGTAAGTTAGGCTTGAACGATCACTAAAGGCTTTCCCACACTCATTACATTTGTAAGGTTTTTCCCCGGTATGAATTCTCCGATGACCTGCAAGATGTGAATTCCGACTGAAGACCTTGTCACAGACCTCACATTTATATGGTTTCTCTCCAGTATGGATGGTTTGATGTCTAGTGAGGTGTGAACTCCGAGTAAAGGATTTGCCACACTCGCTACATTTGAAAGGTTTCTCTCCAGCATGGATTCTTTGGTGAATTCTGATATCAGACCATTGCCTGAAGCCCTTGCCACATTCAGTACACTTGTATGGCTTCTCTCCAGTATGAATTCTCTCATGAAGCCTAAGGTGTGAATGTTTGATGAACGTCTTGCCACATTCATTACATGGGTAAGACTTCCCTCTAGTATGGACTACCTGATGGTTGATTAGGCTTGATCGCAAAATAAAGGCTTTGTCGCATGCATCACATTTGTAGGGCTGCCCTCGAGTATGAATTCTTTGATGTTTTAGAAGCTTGGAATTACGGGAAAAAGCCTTGTTACATTTACTACAACGGTAACGCTTCTCTCCAGTATGGATTACTTGATGGCTCCTGAGGCTTGAACACACCCTAAAGGCTTTGCCACACACATTACATTTGTATGGTTTCTCTCCAGTATGAATTCTCTGATGAGTTTCAAGGTTTGATTTTCTATTAAAAACCTTGCCACACTCATTACATTTGTAAGGTTTCTCTCCAGTATGAATTCTCCGATGAGTTGCAAGGTTCGAACTCTGACTGAAGTCCTTGCCACATGTATCACATTTGTATGGCCTCTCTCCTGTATGGACTACCCGATGTTTAGTGAGGTGTGAGACATGAGTAAAGGTTTTGTCACAGTCATTACACCTGTAAGGTTTTTCCCTATGTACTTTATGGTCTTTTGTTAGTATTGAAGAATGGATAAAATCATTCCCATACATGTTAGAAGTGTTGGTTTGGATATTAGGAGGAATTCTTTGGAGAGCTGAAATTGAGGAACTATTGTTGATAACCTTTTCAACTTGATTACATTCAAAAATTTTCCTTTCCATTCGAAAAATCTGCAATTCATCCTGAAAGCTTAATGCAAGTTTATTTTCAGTTGGTTTGTTTCCTGCATTGCTTCTACCACATTGATCTTTTCTATCAGTGAACTTTTCATCATGGGTTACAAGCACTCCTTTGTAATTTCTTTCATCATCTCTCCACTGACACTCAAACTCAAGCATATTGCCTTGGATTTCCCTTAAGTAAAAATCTTTGACTCCATGGCTTTCATGTCTTCCCAAAATCACTGTTTGGAATGTATCTGTTGAGTTAGTGTTCTCCTTTGGTTGTAATTTCTTGATAATATGTATGGGAGAGATATCTACAAAATACAAAAAATCATAGGTATATTATTAATTATAATTCATAAATATTTTATGTTGAAAACATATTATACCAAAAATAACACTTACACTGAAGGTAGTTATGAAACTTCCCAACCACGATCTTCCAAATTTTGAAGAAATAGGATTCTTTAATAAAGAAGGTGTGATCACATGAAATTCAAATTGATTTTAGGGTAGCCTCATTTCAAACACTATATGACAAAAACACTCAGGTTGTGTAAACTTAAGTTAGCTCTTAAAAAATGGCTAATCCCATGACCATGAACCCAAAATATAAACATATTGACTGTAACTGAAGAGAAACATATTAGACATATTTTCCACATGCTTATTACACATAATCTGCATACAGTATATACATCATTACTGTATATAAATTTAATATTTAAAATAAGTAATATAATGGTAAATAATCCAAAACAAGCTTATCTAACAAGTAACCTAAATAAATGGCAGTTTAGAATTGCAAAACAAATACAGCACTGAAAAAATAAAGAATTTAAGAAGGATATTTAAAAAATGAAATATTTTCCTGAATTACCTGTTATAAAAGTATCAATTCCCAGGAAAAATAGGCATTTTATAACATTAACAAGTAAATGTCAGTTATATTGCATAATATGTTCTGAAAGATCATCAACTGCAAATCACAATAAAAATTAATAAACACACTATTCTAGTAACCCTTTCTATTCTAGTAAAGTAACCCTTTACTATTGCAGTAAAACAATGAGTAATAAGTAACCATGTTGTACAACATTATATTCTAGGGAATTCTAAACACTCTTCCTAAGAAGAGAATTTTACCTTGGAAAGGGCACACAATATGAAAACTGTAAAAGGTATTGACATAACTGACTTCTAAATTATCAGGTCAGGAAAGTATATAACATTATGGGAAAGATGGAACACAAAAGGAGAAGGGGGTGGCAGAGGATGAGATGGTTAGATAGCATCACTGACTCGACATGAATCTGAGCAAACTCCAGAAGATCATGAAAGACAGAGGAGGCTGGCGTGCTACAGTTCATGGAGTTGTAAAGAGTTGGACACGACTTTGCGAATGAACAACAAAAGAACAGAAACTGAAGAAAGAAGCCAAAAGTCACATGATTTCATGATTGCCATTATATAATAACCAAGCAAAGCAATTTCTTATCTATGCAGTGCCCTTTAATTCTTCAGCTTATTGTCCTCAGATATATAATATGAAGTATGTGTTTAAGATATGTAATATGAAGTATGTGTTTAAGATATATATTAACTAAGGTCACAGACTGCATTGTTGAGGACAAACTGTAAAATAAAAGCATATAAAATATAATGCACACAAAGGGATATGGCATAACAAAACATGACAAAGTAGATATATCTCATTAAACAACAGTAACTTAGAGTTTTTCTATAAAATGTGCAACATTATTACATATAAGCTATCTAACAGTACTTATTTGTTTTAAAAGCCTGACGTAAACTACCATTATTTTTCAAATGAGGGCACAAGACTTAGAAGGCTATGTACATAACCCTGAATTACAAAGAAAGTGAGAGAAGCAGGAGTGTGATGCTGGGAGTCCCTGGTGGTCTAGTGTTTAGGATTTGGGACTGTCACTGCTATGGCCTGGGTTTGATTCCTGGTCAGGGAACTGAGTTCCCACAAGCTCTGAGGTGTGGCAAAAATAAAAAACTTTAAAAATGAAAAATAAGTAAAAAAGACTCTTTTCAATATACATGCACCCCTATGTTCACAGCAGCGCTATTTATAGTAGCCAAACATGGAAACAATCTAAATGACCATCAACAGATGAATGGATAAAGATGTTGTGTGTCTACACATATAAATACACACACACACACACTGGAATATTACTCATCCATAAAAAAGAATGAAATAGTGCCATTTGCAGCATCATGGATGGACCTAGAGATTATCATACTAAGCGAAATAAGTTAGAAGGAGAAAGACAAATATCATATGATATCACTTGTATGTCGAAATGCAGCACAAATGAACTTATCTATGAAACAGAAACAGACTCACAGACATACAGAAGAGACTTCTGGTGGCCAAGTGTGCGTGCACAGGGACAGGTTGGGAGTTTGCAAATAGCAGATGCAAGCTATTATATATAGGACGGATAAACAACAAGGTCCTACTGTACAGCACAGGGAACTATATTCAATATCCTGTGATAAACACAATAAAAAAAAGAATGTATACGTATGTATAACTGAATTTACCTTGCTTTACCTCAGAAGACAATACAACATCGTATATCAACTATACCTCAATTAAAAGAAAAAATCTCGGGGTAGGGGGGCAGTTTTCTGTCACCAAATAACCCCACTCCATAGGGAGAGTCCCTAGAAGTTGTCTATCCCCTAAAAGTATTATTATCACAGCAAAAAAAATATAGGATAAAATCTCAGATTCTAGGAATGTGTATTTCAAAGGCAATCATCAGAGGCAACTTAAGACAATAGGAAATCAGGAAAAGTCTACATTCCCAGACCAGGTAGAGCAGTGGAAGAGTGATGAAAATACAAGACAGGAACGGGGATCCTGCAGGATCTTGAGATGTGTGCTGTCTTCACAGACACTGAGCTAAGAATCTCAAAGGCCGACATATGCTCCCCATGTAGGACCTAGGATCAAAGAGAAGATCTGTCTACTGTCTTTACAGTTCTCCTAAGTAACAATCCCAGAAGGAAGGGCTGAGGGATCTGAGCAGGCAGATGGGGCTTGAGACAGCTCTGAGCAGGTTCTGGGGTGAGAGATGGAATCAGAGAGCACCAGTGGTTTCCTACCTCCTGACTACATCTTCCTAGAACAGCGAGTAGGGATGGAACTAGGACAGGTCTGAGTGTGGTGCTACAGAGCAGTTCAGTTCTTACGTGCAGGGACCAAGAACTGAGCAGCCAGTGAAAGCACACACAGAAGTGGAGATGCAGGGGCAACAGACCCCTCTGAAAGAGACCATCCCACGTTCCTCAAAGTCAAGCAACAAAGCTGACAGGAGTCAAATGGCAGGCTGTTGTAGATCATACAAAGACCTTGCCTTTGTCTCTGTAGGATCTGTGGCACCACTGGAGGGCGAGATACATTTTACATACTAAAGAACAGAGTGAAAAGATGGGGAGAACAACAATTTCCTCTGAGAGTTTACCAAAAAATAAACTCTTCTCCCACAGAACTCTTCCACTTGGGGAGAGATTCCCTGAAACTATTAATGGTATGGTTTCTTCGCTGTTCATCTGAGATCTGACCTGTGTCTACACCTGATACTTTCCACCCCTTTAGTCATTTTTTTCTTTCTTTTTTTATTTTTATTTTTTGCTATTTTCATTTCCGTCTACAGGGTCCAGTGCTCTCTTTTCTTTACTCCAAAATGGAGATAAGAATATTCAGCTCAGAAACAGAAATTATTGCTAATTGTAAGAAAGAAACATCACATGCTATATTGTTTCCAGAACCCCAGCTCTTTGTTCAGCTGAGGAGTGAGGACATTATGGGGGGGTTGTGGAAAACACTTCAATCCACAGTTTGCCTCCTTCTGAATGCATAGGGGAATCGCTTCTTAGCCTTTTGGCTAAGATCAAGTGAATGCACAGGGAAGAGTGTAATATGCAGACAACTTGCTTGTAGTAAAAAGGTAAGTGGGACTTCCCTGGTGACTCAGTGGTTAAGAATCTGCCTGCCAGTGCAGGGGACACAGGTTCAATTCTTCGTTCAGGAAGATCCCACATGCCGCAGAGCAACTAAGCCCATGTACCACAACTGCAGAGCCCCTGCGCCCTAGAGCCCGCCTACTGCAGCAAGAGAAGTCACAATGAGAAGCCCAAGCACTGCAACTGCACTGCAACTAAGAAAGACCCAGCACAGCCAAAAAATAATAAATAAATAAAATTTTCAAAACAGGGAAGTGTAGGTTTTAAGTTTGCTACAGGCTTTATGTATTTTTAAGCTCTGGACCCACCCTCAAGGTATCATAACCTGGGCAGATCAAATGAGGAAAGGGCAATTTCAAAGTCCTCATGCCACATTATGAAGCTTTTGGCCTCTGATTCAACAGGGCTTCGAGCTCAGCCAAGCAAGGCAGGAGCTCCCAAAAGGCACGCAAGGGAAAATGTAAAGATACACAAGGACAGTTCCCAACTTGAGAGGGAAGTGATCCTCACCCACAGAGAGCAGGTTCCTGCAGGTCTCCAGCATTACGTCCCAGTACAAAGTCCTCTGTGCAGGGGCCAGGCATTTCCACTCCTCAGGAGTGAATTCGATGGCCACATCCTCGACAGTCAACTGCTGCTGAAATGAAAACACGTATCACTAATGGGGTCATAAGAAGAGCTCTTATCTTCATACAGAATGAGAAGAGGATTGACTCAGTTGAAGTGTGTATTCTGACAGATTCATATAAAGGTATTTAGAGCAAATTATACATCTCCAATTGCTTTCCCATAGGAGATTACAATGGCCTCCAGATCAATGTCGATTTCTCATTTTTCTGTATGACACGTGAAATACACAAACAGAAATTCAACACAGGGTCATCTATACAGAGGTGTTAAAGAAAGCTCAGAATCTAAAAACTGTGATGATGATTAACAGCAATGACTACAAGTTTTTGAACACTTTCTGTATGTTATGAATTATTCTAGTAGTAGTAGTGGGAGTAGTAGCAGTCGTTTCTGACTCTTTTGTGATCCCATGGACTGTAGCCCGCCAGGCTCCTCTGTCCTTGGGATTCTCTAGGCAAGAATACTGGAGTGGGTTGCCATTTCCTTCTCCAGGGGATCTTCCTGACCCAAGGATCAAACACAGGTCTGCAGTATTACAGGCAGATTCTCTACCATCTGAGCTACCACGGAAGCATTACTCTAGATGCTTTTCATGAATTAACTTGTCAATGTAGTAACTCATCAGAGAAAGATCATTTCCATTTTACAGAGTAGAAAACTGAGTCACAGATGGAATCTAAGGCTACGTGTCAGTGACTGAGAGAAGGCCCTGGGTGAGTGTGAATGAACAGGAATTGAGCAGGCTACTTCTTGAGTCAGAGATTAGCAAGTGCAAAGAAGGAAGGAGAATAGCAGAGACTAACACAACATTGCAAAGTAGCTGTATTTCAAAAAAAAAAAATTAATTAAAAAAGAAAAGAAAGGAGAAACAGAATAATCAACCAAGAATATGAGTTCACCTGAGAAAGAGCCATTCCAGACTCTTCCTTCTTTCACCTTCCTCCTCTTCTGGGCTTCCTCAGGCAACATGAGTCTTAGAGGTCTATCCTGAAAGTTGAAAACATGCTGTTTAATGCTTAGAGTCAACACACCCCCTTCCGGTGCCCCCACACAGGGAAGCCCTCACCGTGTGGAACAGACAGTCCTCTGTTCCCACTGTCTCAGGAGGGACTCAGGACAGGCAACTCCCGCACAGAGACCAACACGGAACTTTCCCACACTTCCCCTCGGATCACACTCCCCTCCTGGTGAGGCCTCATGTACACAGCAGCAGGGGGCACCTCCGCTGACCCCACGATCCCCTCAGGTCACACAGCAGGCCCTGGTCCAGCCTCAGGGCAGAGAAACCTTACCCTCAGCCCAGATCTCAGCCCTCAGGATGGAAGGACTCAAGAGTCCTGATGCTCAATGCCAGATGCACCAAGGCCCCTTAAATACCATTGAGGCTGAGCCCCATATGGACTTTTCAAAGAGGAATCTCTGGTCAGGGCACAAATGTATTTGCAAAATGCCTCATCGATGTAACGTGTAGCCCGGATGAGCAGCACTCAGCGGAGGCAAGCACAGCATAACTTGCACCTTTTTCTTTTAAAGTTTTACTAAGGTATAATTGACAAATAAATATCATGTATATTTAAGATGCACAATGTGACATTCGACATATGTACATATGAATATACTGTGAAATAACTACCAAAATGAACTTCTGCATTTTCCTCCAAATAGCTGGAAAAATCCTTCCACACGTTAGTGCATGAATTACCCAGCTCATAAAAACTAAGTATGCCCACAGCCCAGGGTCACTCTCCCCTTCAGAGACAACCATATTCTGCCTATGGAATGTGTATTTCTCTCAATAAACTTGCTTTACCATTCTTGGGGTTCTCAAGGCAAAGATACTGAAGGAGCCTGCCATTCCCTTCTGCAGTGGACCACGTTTCATGAGCACTCTTCACCATGACCCAGGCATCTTGGGCAGCCCGGCACAGCATGGCTCACTCTACTATGTCTCCTTCTTGAATACTTTCCTGCAGGAAGCCAGAGGCCCTTACTTGGAGACCTATCCGAAGATTTCCCCTGGGACATGACCATTCTCTTGCACCCCCATTCTTCTGCAAGAGGACTTCATGGCATTTAATAGGAGAGGAAAATGTAGCTAATTGAGAACACAAATTTTAAAGAGGAAAGAACCGAGCGTATAAAAAGGCATGGAGTGTATGTGAGTCCCCGTCTTTGTGTTTCAGAGAGACAATGCTACCATGTTTGAATGTTGATCAAAGTAACTTCCGAGAAGTAAAAATCCATGATGCCACACGGCCCTGACCCTGAGGGAGGAGCTGGCAACCGGGGCACAATTTCAGGGCCAGCAACAGCCAGAGGCAGCTTCAGACTATCCCCAGTCACTTATTAGGGAGAGAGCACAGGCCCTGAGGCCGACGGTTGAGGCAGTTAGAGAAGATCTCTTCCCTTTGCTCCCGGAGCTCAGTGGAGAAGACACAGCGTCTTTGAGGAAAACAGATAGGACAGGCAGAAGTGGACTTTTGAGGAGCTCCACAGGAAAGGTGTGGAGCAGACACACAGGGAATGTGAGGAAGCAGCCAGGAATCTGAAGCGAGACCAGTCATTTTGGGGGTGTGTTTTTCTCCAGCTGCGATGAGCCACATGGGGACAAGGAAGAGCTGGTGTGATGGGGGCGTTGGGAGAGCAGTGGGTGTCGGGGAGAATCCATGTCCACACACCAGGCCTTCGCTGTGGGGCATTTGACTTGCATGACTGTGAGTGACAAGGTGGGTTTGTCTCCATTTTGGGGGGGTGGGGTGTTGCACCAGGCAGCAAGCGGGATGTTAGTTCCCTGACCAGGGATCAAACCGGTGCCCCTGAAGTGGAAACACTGAGTCCTAACCACAGGACCACCAGGGAAGTCCCAGGAAGTGCAGTCTTAAACACTCTTAAACACTTAAATACTGCAGAGCCAGGGAAGCCCCTGTTTCCATCATTTATGGAAAATTACTCAGTCATTAAAAAAAAAAAATAATGCTATTTGCAGCAGCACAGATGGACCTAGAGATTCTCACATTGAGTGAAGTAAGTCAGACAGAGAAAGACAAATATTGTATTATATCAATCATATGTGGAATCTAAAAAAAAAGGCTACAAACGAACTTATCTACACAACTGAAATGGAGTTACAGACGTAGAAAGTAAGCTTATAATTATCAAAGGGTAAGAGGGGGAGGGATAAACTAGGAGACTGGGACTGACACATACATACTACTATATATAAAATAGATAACGAATTAAGCCTTAACTGTTGAGCACAGTCCTCTGTGATGACCTACATGGGAAAAGAATCTAAAAGAGCAGATGTATGTATTTGACAGTTCACTTTGCTAAACACCTGAAACTAACACAACATTGAAAATCAATCATACCCCAATAAATATTAAAAAACCAGCCTCCGTTGTGGCTCAGATGATAAAGAATCCATGTGCAATGCAGGAGACCAGGGTTTGATCCCTGGGTTGGGAAGATCCCCTGGAGGAGAGCATGGCAACCCACTCCAGTATTCTTGCCTGAAGAATCCCACAGACAGAGGGGCCTGGCGGGCTACTGTCCACAGGGTCACAAAGAGTTGGACATGACTGAGCAACAAAGCGCACACACACACAAATTAAAAATATGTCATACACTCTTTATGTAGTGAATACACAAACGAGACAACACAAAGTGACACTGGTTCCGCTCTGCCATCTCTCCATGTTGGGAGACTGACATGTGCAGAGTTCCTTTGCCCTGGAGGAGTGAGGACGGGCCAAACAGGAACAGCTGAGGATAGTGGAGCCAAGGGTCCTCCATTTAGACAATGCTCCCTGCCCTCCAAAAGTGCAAAGGTCATGTGCAAGTTCAACTAGGATGGCAGTGAGCTCATCCCAGCGGTAGCTGCTTGAGGCTGAGCAGACCCATTCTGACAATAGGAAAGCCGAAAACTGGGACTTCCCTGGCAGTCCAGTGGTTAGGACTCACCAGCTTTCACTGCTGTGGGCCCCGGTTCAATCCTTGGTAGGGGAACTAAGGAGCCCAAAAGCTGTGCAGTCAAACATAATATAAAACAATCCACAGAAAGAGGAGGAGGCTCTTGGCTGCCTTGACACTTAATTGGAAAAAGGTTCCTGGAATCTAAGATTTCTCACTCTGCATTGATAAGGTGTGTGTGTTTAGTCGTGTCCGACTTTTGCGACCCCACAGACTGTAGCCCGCCAGGCTCCTCTGTCCATGGGATTCTCCAGGGCAGAATACTGGAGTGGGTTGCCATGCTCTCCTCCAGGGGATCTTCCCAACCCAGGGATCAAACCCTGGTCTCCTGCATTGCACATGGATTCTTTATCATCTGAGCCACAACGGAGGCTGGTTTTTTAATATTTATTGGGGTATGATTGATTTTCAATGTTGTGTTAGTTTCAGGTGTTTNATTCTTTTACCGACTGAGCTACATTGATATTAGCTGAAGAAAAATCACAGCCTGAAATGCTGAATTTACTGGGATTGTACAAACCAACAGTGAGAAGAACAGCAGGGAAATGATGTCTGACAGAATGGTGGAGGAGAAGCTGAGGCCACCAGGGTGCAAAGAGAGAGAACACTTTACTTCCTCAGGTCATCCAATGGGGACATCACCGTGAATGCCTTTCTAGAGAAGACAATGAAGACATGTGGACAGAGGGTGAGTGGGTGTTGAGTAGAAAGACAAGATCCTTTCTCCAAATGGGGCCCCAATACCTCACCCCCTTCTATTGGGCTAGCTGCTGAGCACTGGTGAGTAGGAACAGAGCTTTTCCTTTACCTCTTTCCTGAGCTTTCCTGCTATCGCCAGGGCTCTGAGTTCCCAAACACTGTCCCCCTTCCTGTTTCCTCCCCAGAACACAGCAGCCCTCCTCCTCAAAGAAATACGCTTATTCCACATATAGTTTAAAACACCTTGGAAGAAGGGGCCGGCCTTTGAGCGACAGCGACGCAAGATGGCAGCCACCACGGGCTCGGACAATTTATGAAAACCGAATATACAGCCTT